TCCGAAGTAGGCAGACTTGATTGCCTTGACGAATTTTTCTCAGCATTTCCGCGGCAGTTCCATCCGAGTTTGTTTGTTCGGATTTCAAATCTTCTTTTGCGATTATTTCCGGTAACATCTCTTCGAGGAAGTCCGGGATTTCCATGAAGATGTTTTCTTCGATATCGCCGTTGAGAAAAGCTGTTGCCACGTCCAATTGATGAATGATTAGATCGTTTTCAACCGCGAGGGCCATCAATAATCTGATCGAACTGAGTCTTACCACTGGGGAAAAAGTTTGATTAAAATCTATTCCGGGGCGTTGTGAAAATCCTCGAGCCACGACGCGTGCTTTCATTTTTTCCAGTACTCCTTCGGCGTTGAATTTATTTCTGAGCACAGTTCTGCATCCAATCACATTGGAATCTTTCGGACGTTCGACGATGATCCATGTTCGGTTCTGGATCAGAGTTGCCAATGACCCTACCTAAACGCTACTGCGCTTGCGCTACAACAACTCTCTTATAGGTCGAAAAAAGCGCGCTTATATAAAATGCTTAATAATAAGAAAACGTTAATAAAGCAAAATAAAAATATTTTCACTATTGAATTTATTTTTTTTTGTAAATTATATTACTTTTTAATAAAAAAAATTTATTTCCTTAATGTACTGAAGAATAATAATAATTTTAATAATAATAATATTCATAATTTTATTATATTTATATCATTATTGTCATTATTTTTTTATAAAATATATAATCTATTATTATTATCATCAATTTAATATTTATTAATTAATTATGTAATATATTATTTATTTTTGTTATTATTATTATTAAATTATTATTAATTAATTATATATGAAATATACATATATATTTTTAGAAAAATTCAGCGAAATTTGTTTGTACTTTTTTATGAGGAAAATTTGAATTGGTAAAAAAGTACAAAAAAATTTCGATTCATTTTTTTGAAATATATAGATGTAATACATTCATAGTTAATTAATAATAATTTATTGAAAATAATGATAATAATAATAAATAATATATTAACTAATTAATAAATATTATATTGATGATAATAATAATAGATTATATATTTTATAAAAAAATAATGACAATAATGATATAAATATAATAAAATTATGAATATTATTATTATTAAAATTATTATTATTCTTCAGTACATTAAGGAAATAAATTTTTTTTATTATAAAGTAATATAATTTACAAAAAAAAATAAATTCAATAGTGAAAATATTTTTATTTTGCTTTATTAACGTTTTCTTATTATTAAGCATTTTATATAAGCGCGCTTTTTTCGACCTATAAGAGAGTTGTTGTAGCGCAAGCGCAGTAGCGTTTAGGTAGGGTCATTGGCAACTCTGTTCTGGATTAGTGCTTCGAATTCTTCCTGCATGGCACGTCTCCACAGTTCAGCATCGTTTCCACTCAAAGCATCTTTGATCGAGATTTCCTCCGCGATGTTAACGTGTTCAAGATGTTGTTCGACCATTGCTTCCGCGCGAGATGTTCTGAATTGTTTTCTTGGTCGACCACGTTCTCCCGTTCTGATGATTTTTGGTCTTCCAGGTAATCGTGTTCCCGGTTCTGCGATATTATTGTTCTGAATGACGTTTTCATTTTCCACGATATTTTCGATCTCGTTGATTCCCTGATTCTCGATGTCTTCGTCCGATGATTCTTCGAATCCGAAAAATTCTTCTTCGGAGCTCTCCACTTCTTGATAGTGGATTCGGTCGGCATTTCTGTGATTCGTTGATGCAAACTCGATTTCAATCAACTTTTCTTTTTCGGTGAGCTTGCGATCCTGTCCGTTCGAAATTTCCTTGGGAATGAATTCTTCGGATTTCTGCTTTGGGAGGAATGTATTCGTGAGTTCGATATCTCTGGTTATTTCGACCTTTTTCTTGTCCGGCAACCAGACTCGGTAACCTTTGGTTTCGGTGGAATATCCCAAAAATACACATTTTTGCGCCCGTGGTTGAAATTTTCCTTTTCCCGGTGACTTGTCTAGGGCAAATCCCTTGCATCCAACGGTTTTCAAGTTATGAAGATTTGGGGGTGTTCCAATCCATTTTTCGAATGGTATCTGACCGTTCAGACTTTTGGACGGACATCTGTTTCTTACGTAATTCGAGGTCGATATCATTTCTGCCCAGAACATCGGTGGCAGGTTGGAGTCTAGCAGAAGGCATCTCGCCATTTCAACCAGGGTCCGGTTCTTCCTTTCGGCTACGCCGTTCTGCTGTGGGGTGTGTGACATCGTGAACCTCCTTACGATACCGCATTTTTCCAGATGTTGATTCAAGTCCTTGTTTCGGTATTCCGTACCGTTGTCGGATTGCAGGCACTTTATTTTTCTACCTGTCTGATTCTCTACCATAGCTTGGTAACTTTTGAATGCATCCGCGAGTTCGTTTTTACTTTTCAGAAATTTCACTTCACACATGCGAGTAGCATCGTCGATGAAGGTCGCGAAATATTTTGCCCGACCGATTGATTGCGTACGCATCGGCCCGCACAAATCCGTGTGCACTATATCGAGTATTTCGGTTTTACGCGAAGAACTTTTCGGGAAAGGCTTTTGCGCGAGTTTTCCCGTCACACAAGTTTCACAGATTCCGAGTTTTTCATTTTCACTGAACTGTATTCCTTGCGTTTTCAGCAAACTTTTCAAGTCCTTCTCGTTTAAGTGGCCTAGTCTCCGATGCCATAACTCTAGTATTCCCGAGTTATCGCTTTCCGATGCAATATTCGCGAGTTCCGATATTTCTTGAACGTAGTATAATCCGTTTATTCTGTTCGCGGTTAGTTTTTCGATTCCGTTCGCGTCACGAATTGTCGCCGAATTTCGTGTGAAAATTACATCGTACCCGTTATCCGTGATCTTTCCGACGGAGATCAGCGGGGTTCTTAAATCCGGCACGTAGAGGGTTTTTTCGAGTTTAAGGGGTTTTGTTTCACCGTTATCGACAACTGAAATTTTCACTGTCCCTCTTGCTTCCACTTGAGTAGTGGCACTGCTCGCTAGATTTAATTTTTCACTCTCGCACTTTTCACTGTTTGTAAACTTCTCTTGATCGTGACACATGTGCGACGTACAACCGCTGTCGAGGCACCACTTCGTTCCCATTCGGCTATCTTCGGCTTTCAGCGCCGATTCCGAATTCGTGATTAGAAATCCCATTTCTTCCGCTGTACTCGCTTTTTCTCCTTTCTTGTCGATTTTCGTGTTACACTCATTGGCTTTATGCCCAACTCTCCTACACTTGTGGCATCTGAAAGGAAAGGGTTTTTCTTCCCCTTTTTCGGCGTCCGTTTTCTTCCCCTTCCGCCAAGGTTTCTTGTGATGACCGCGGTTTGCGCTGCTAGCCAACATGGCTTCCGACGAATTTTCCCGTTGCGCAGATTTTCTGGCATCACTCTCCTCGATGATTTTTATTTTCAGGGTTTCCGGTACAGGTAAGTTATCCCGCGTTTCGATAGCGCATCGAAAATTTTCATAGCTGGCGGGGAGACTATACAGCAGCATTATGGCGAGCAAATCCTGGTTGATGTCTACTTCCATCTCCTGCAATTTGTCTACGGCGTCAAAGAAACCGCGAATGTGTTCACGAGCGTCGTCGTGTTCCGACATTTTATGTAACATCAGTTGTTTTAATAAGGTGGCTTTTCGAGCCGGCCCTGTCGACTGATATATCGTTTGCAGCTTCTGCCACACTGCATGCGCGGTTTCGCATCCTTTTATTTGTTTTAATTCCGATGGATCTATTGCGAGAATTAGATCCGAATGCGCCTTTTGGTCCGCGATTTCCCATGCAGCGGCTGCAGCTCGCGATGCCGCGTCGCCCTCCACGATTTCGGGTTTCGTTTTCTGTCCATTCACATAATCCCAGGCGTCGTTTTTTATTAATAATGCTCGAACTTGAAGTTTCCACGTATCGTAGTTATTTTTCCCGAGAGCTTCGATACGTGTCGAGTACGTAGCCATTTTGGAAGCTTTTCAAAGGCCACGCTTCTTCCGAAATACACTTCAATTCTTTTTACGATTTTACCGGTTATTTCACTTCCGAATTTATACGCGATAGATTCTGGGCCCATAACCTATTAGACCGAGAGGCTATGGATAAAAAAAGGAATAAAACCGTGTTATAGAAAAGACTATTTATTAAGAGCGACAAAATGACTTGTAGTTATTGTGAGGTTAACAAAAGAACAGAACTGATTTGTGAATGTGTGTATGAGCTTAATGAGTGTGTCAGCGCATGCGTGTAATTAACATAACAGGGACGTAGTTTGTAAAACAGATACACATGTCTACATATCCAACAATATTTATTAAATTTTCGGTGCTATGTGGGTAGTACACTTTTCATCTTCTTCAGATGAATCTAAACTTATATAATATAATATAATTGTTGTTATGATTGTAATCATAAAAAACATTTAATATTTAAAAAATTGTCATTTCATTCTTCAATATACTGATCAAAATTAAGATCAATTTTATACAATATTAATAAAATATTAATTTCAAACATAAATGATATATATATATATATATATATATATATATAAATAAAATACAATAAGTAAACAATTATAATAATTTTTATGATGAAAACCATAAAAAAAGTTTAAAATTTATGGTTTTTTTTTTAAATTACCTTTAAAAACTCACATTTTGAAAAAAAACTTTTAAAATTGATGCATTTTTAAGGAAGTTATGAGCATTCAAAAATTAAACGTCATGAAAATTCTCCAATTTTCAAAAAAAAATTTCATGAAAGCTAGTCTTAATTAGTACAATATCATCTATAATTATACTTGGGTCGCGATAAATCGCCGATTTCGTTTATAGTTTTTTTAGTGTATTTTACCTCTAAAAATACTTAACACTCCTTTTCTATCTCATACGTTGCGACTTTCGCTTTATGGAAACGATATATATCGACACGTTACTATCGATAATCGTAATGAAGATATCGATATTATTCAGCTTGACGACGTTCATTATCAAAGTGCGAATACTTGTTGGGAAAATATTCTCATTCTATTCTGATTTTATACGAAAATACGAAGCTACAATAATACATGTTTTTGTATGAAAAAGCAGAATAGGCTGCACAAGGTGACGATTTTAAAACGAATTATTTGGTCGATGTTCCCAAACCTTTCATTTTCAACCGTAAAATTAATCAAGGTATAAACAACATTTTTCTAATATTTTATATTTCAACATAAATTATACCTATAACTAAAACAATACAACAAATATTTCAGATAATTTATTCGTTAAATTTTTTTAGATTAAGTTTTCACGTTGATATCCAGTGAATCTATTAAGGATGATGTAACTTTATTATATCTATACGCAAATTTTTGCTCACATCATTTCAAGGTCAAATCTTGCAAAGAATCTACAATTTTTGATCAATTGGGTATGTTTAACAGAATCATTATTATTATATTATTTTAAATAAAATTATTTGCTTTAATTAATTCAAATTATTTTTTTAAAAAATGAAATATTTTTTACTTGTGCGTCTAAAAAAAATATATTTGATTCGAATGAGTCAATTGGGGTAGGAGAGAAAATAGCTATTTTTCACAAATTACTTAAGTTTCTTCCTTTAAAAGGTTATATTTGCAGGTTTATTTTTTTTAAGTTATTTACATTCCCAGGATTAATTTTAAGCAGAAAAAAATTTAGATAAACTTTAAACGCATGAAACTGACTGTCCCCATTTACCTTAAAATTTAGAAAATTTCATAAAATTTAAGGTAAATGAGGCTCCAGATCTTAAATACTCGGATAAAAAAATTTTTGAAAATTTTTTAAATGTGCTTTTACTTTTAAAATAGTTTAAAGAATATTGTACTTAAAATTTGGTGAAAAAATATTCATATTTTTCGAAGTAATTGCGAGTTGAACACAAAAAAGCATTAAAAATTTCGATTCTTAAAAATGACGTTTTTTGTAAATAAATAAAAAACGGGTAATTTTGAACAATTTCAAAATTTTATATCCAGGGGCCAAATTAAAAATTTTTAATTTTAAAACAAATAAATTTATATTTATTTTACTTCAAAGCTTATTGTGAAACTTTAGTTAAATATATTGAATATTGTTACTGTTAGACAGTCATTTACATTCCCCACCATGTATTAATTGAGAAATTAATTGAAAAATTAAAAAAAAATGTTTTTCTAAGACTAACTTAAACATGTGATATTATTTTCAGGTGTGTAAAAATAAAAAATAAATAAAAAAAAATCGCGCCTAAATTTAAAAAAAATTTAATGTGTTTATAAAAAATTGCTGTTTTTTATAAACAAATTCAAAATTTTTTTTTCGTTAACATATTCCTAAATTCAATACTTTTAGAGTTATATGTCATTGAAATTAGGTGTATTTCAAAAAATGATTTGAAATCCGGGGAAACCCCGGGAATTTTATACGCTTTAAGGTGCTTTTATACCTCAAATTTTGATCAGAAGAACATTATTTCTGGACCGTGAAAATGCGTGAAAAGTCATTTTCACGGCGGGTATTTTTGAATTGTTTTAAACAAAAAATGTTTTTTTAAGAAATATAATGTTAAACAATTGTTTAAATGTGTAAGAATAAATGAAAATAGTGATAGAAAGATGATTTGATTGAAAAATTTAGCAAATTTTGCTTTAAAACGTTTTCTACTACAAGAAAGTGGAAAATGACGATGTTTGTGTTTTTATAATTAATATTTAATAGGTATTCGTTGGTCCCTGATACCAACGACAAGGTGACAAGGGTTTGAATCAATGTGAAGTTGGTTCAAAGGTGTCGACAAACTTATGATTTATGAAAATAAATTTTTTTAAGATAAGGTAAGTGTACCAATTACGGCGCGTTCATAAAAAATAACTATTATTACTATTATATTATATTATATAACTGTTGAAAAATGACAAAAAAAATTATTTTAATCTTTTTTTGATACAATTATTTATAAAGATACACATTTAAACAATTATTAATTCAATTATTTGAGATCAAAATTTTTCCCTCGCCGTAATTGATGCATTTTTAATATTTCCATTGTCTCCAATTTCGGCGGGCAAAGTATCAAATACACGCCGCAATGAAAAATTACGGTCTTAGTTTCACTAATCGATTTTTATAAAGTTAAAATTTCTTTGATATCTAAATAACATAAGCTTTTAATTTAATAAGTCTTAAATTAAGTTTATGCAATAGAAATGTCGAATTTTCTATTTCAAAGGTGTTTTGACTCGAATTGCGCTGCAATTAGTGCATTTACTAAAATTATTAAAATGTTTTATAATTGTTAATTAATATACATTTTCAAGAAATATTTTTGAGACAAAAATTCATAGCATTTTTTTTGTTTTTTTCATTACCGTTAACCGGCGTCGCAATATTTTTATTCTACATGTTTAATCAAAATTCTAATCTTTATAGAAAAATGTTTTAAACTATTTAGTCATATTTTGGACATTATTTATTGAACATTTTCTGTAATTATAAGAAACAATATTTTTTATCTGCGATTGGGGCGATTATATGGTACAAAATTGGTTTTTTGTTCATAAAATAAAGTACAATTTTTTTTCTTAATATTTAATTCATTTCTGCTTTCAAAATTTTTTTAATATGTTTTTTTAGCCTCTTACATAAGGAAATAAATTTTTTTTTAACTATATACCTTATGCATATGAATGATCCCGTAGAATATTCTGTGTTTATTATTTATTTATTTTTATTTATTATATCTGTAATTCGCTTGAAATTTTTATTGTAAAATTAAGCATTTACTGCCATAAAAAAAAGGTTATTAAAAATCTTTTAATTTTATTTGTTACAGAAAATTGACCTAGAGGAAGTATTCTTATTTGGGATTGAAATTTGCACCTATACATATTTTTAGTAATTATTCTGTTAATAATAGAGTAATTATATTTTACTTGTAATTTGGTTTACAATTTTTATTGGTGAAAGAAACTATATGAAATACGCGGCGAAAGAATGAACGATTATAATTCTATTGCCATCTTTGTAGCAGCTCGCAACGGTGATTTGGATTCCTTATCTGCTCGGCTAAACAAACTAAATTTACAAGAAACTCTTGCTGATAAAAGAACACTGCTACATTTAGCAGCTTCACGCGGACACGCGCATATAGTTCACTTTCTAATAAGAAATGATGCCAATATTGATGCAAAAGATATAAACGAATACACGCCTCTTTCCTTAGCCATTGGTGGAAATTACATGGAAGTAGCCAAGATTATTATACAAAATGGTGCAGATGTAAATATTAGACAAAGAAATGGAGAAACACCACTTCATATCGCCTCTAGATTAAAAAACATTCAATTTGTTGAAATTCTTTTAAAAAATGGTGCAGATGTAAATATTTCAAGTAAATATGGAGGAACACCACTTTATATAGCGACTGTCAGTGAAAACATTCAACTTGTTGAGATTCTTTTAAAAAATGGTGCAGATATAAATATTGTAAATCGATATGGAGAAACACCACTTCATGTCGCCACTAAAGTAAATAACATTCAGCTTGTTGATATTCTTTTAAAAAATGGTGCAGATGTAAATATTTTAAATAACTATGAAAAAACACCACTTCATATAGCGACTGAGATGGAGAATATTCAGCTGGTTGATATTCTTTTAAAAAATAGTGCAGATGTAAATATTGTAAATGCAGATGGAAAAACACCACTTCATGTAGCGACTAAGATGAAGAATATTCAGCTGCTTGATATTCTTTTAAAAAATGGTGCAGATGTAAATATTGTAAGTAAATATAGAGAAACACCACTTCATGTCGCCACTAAAGTAAATAACATTCAATTTGTTGAGATTCTCTTACAAAATGGTGCTAAGCTAAATGGACAAGATAATTTTAGAAAAACAATTCGACGCGCTGTTGAGAATAATCATATTGAACTTATAAAAATTCTTTTCAAACATGGTGCCAAAGTTTATCAACTTGACAAAGCTTATGAAGGACGAACAGATAAAGAAAGTTCAATGACAGCTCTTCATATTGCTGTTAAATATAGAAATTTTGAAATGGTTAAATTGTTAATGACGAATGGATTTGACAGAATTGACGCTATAAACGAATTGGGTGAAACTCCCTTGGATTTGTCAATACAATCTAATTGTTTAGATGTTGTAAAACACTTGATAGAAAACGGCGCAAAAATAAGACGTAAACCTGTTCTTGAAGAAGCACTTCGCTCTGGCAATTTGGAACTTTGGAAATATTTATTAACATGCAATTCAACAATAATTGCAAAAACATGTCCATGTGATTCTGAACTTCATTCAGCTGTGCGAGCGAGTCAAGTAGAAATTGTTGAGGAAATCATAAAAAAAGAAGCGATTAAAGTAAAATCTGATCTTAGATCTTGCGGATGTGCAGTTTATATTGCTGTTGAAAATGGAAACGAAGAAATTCTGAAAATTCTACTAACAGCGGGTTTTTCAATTAAAAATTTTCTTGGAATAAATCCTCTTCATGTGGCAGCAACATTCGAGCATACACGATTAGTAGAATTGCTCTTGAAATTTGGTGCCAACATTAATTCAAGAACAGATGAACATATGATCACCCCCTTGGATTTTGCAGCAGCTGCAGCTCATGCAAATATGGTTAAATTTCTTTTAGATGTCGGTGCTAATCCAATGGTAAACAGGATTTCGGATTTGACTTCACTTCATTATACACTACACAGATTACTAGACAACGCTAATGAAACGTGTGTTACTCCTTTAATGTTTCAAAATTTGTTAAAAATTACAGAAATGTTATTAATCGCCGGAGTTAATAAAATCGACGAAGATAATTATGAAAAATTAATAATAAATGCCATTAAATTAACAGTTTCTAGCGATGATGAACAGAATTCATCTTGTTTTAACTCGAAAGAAATATCAACGGAAGGGAATATAAATGACAAGAAAAATAATGCAAAAGGAGAATTTCGTCCCGAAATTATTAGATGCCTGCTGAATTATTTAAAAGAAAATAAAGTCAATGGTGTGTTAGATAATTTGTTATATTTCAACTCAAAAATTATTTCAAAAATTGCAAATGTTATTATGGAATACTATGATTACAGAAATATATCTCTTTTGAGCCCAAATTATTGGATAGCTGTACACGTGATCGATCAAATTGAGGATATCCATTATCTTTTGAGCTTAACATGCTCTGCTGAAATCAATATTTTAAAGATGTATGTTGCGCGACTAGAGCTACTTCCTTGCGATCAAGAAGCGGAGAAAAAGAAAGTCGATTTTTATAATAAATGCTCCGTATATCTCGATTGGCAAAATGAATGTCAAAAACAGATAATAAATATGCAAAAAACAAAAATTATCGACGAATCAAATGTGACTTTTTACGATATTTTAATGAAATCTATTAAGCAAGTTTCGATTAAAATAAGAAACGAGAGATTATTAAATAGCTTAGAATTATCGATCGAGAAATTTCCAATTTATGCTGACTTTTTTAAGATACGTGTTAGTAAAGGTAAACAAAGAAATGAATTAATTGATATGTGCGTAAATGGTATGTTTCGTCTTATTGAAAAGAATTATAAAATTACATTTTGTCCTGAAGATATCGAAGAAATTTTACAATATCTTTCAGTAATCGAACTTCGAAAATTATCAATGGCGTGTTCATTATTTTCGTAGTAAAAAGAAGTGGTAATTTCAATTATTATTTTTTTGTTTAATTTGTTGTATTTACAACTTATATTTTTGTACTCGAAATTATTGGCGCATTAAAATACATAAATGTAGGTGAAAAACAAGCGCCCAGATAGCACGTAAGCTTGCAGCAACTGTGCGGCAAGCTTCAAATGTCTTACCTGACCCAAGCTTTCATGGTAAGCTTACCGAAAGATTGCAGTGTATGATTAAGGCAAGATTGCATTATAAGATTATCGCAAGCTTGCACGATAAGCTTTCTGCAAGGTTGGTGCAGGGTTGCCAAATAACCTTGCCAAGCAGCACAGAAGGTTGCAGCAAGCTTGCTCGGCAACATATGGCAAGCTTGGCGCAAGCTTGCGGAATATAACAAAAAAATTTTAGGGGGAGGAAAATTATTTTTATATATATACATTGAGCACCAGTTCCTGGAAGGTCAAAAAAATTTACTGCGCAGCCGTATGTGCTTGTGATTGCAAGTGCACATAGTGCTCATTTTCAATGTAAACTTCTGTGCTGATTGGGCAAGGTTATTGGCAACCTTGCACCAAGTTTATCGTGCAAGCTTACATAGCAAGCTTGCGATAATTTTATCATGCAATCTGGGTCTGGGTGAAGGTATTTTAAATAATCCAAAAAATATTAAACAAAATCGTTTGCCCACAACTAGACTAGGTCTAAAATTTGTTAAATTTGAAATATTTTTTTATAAGTAATTTTTAAAAAATCGACCTGTACGTTAATTGAGAAAAATGACTTTATGCGAGCATTAAAAAATAAAAAAAATCCTTAAAATTCTGAATTTTTGAAAAAATTCATACCTCGTAAACGGATTACTAAAAAAAAATTGAAAAAAATTATTCAATTAGTATACAAAAAGAGAAAAAAGTTTCAATAAAATCGGAAATTTAAATGTAAAATGATGTCTGTTTTGGCGTGGAATATATCTTATACATCTGTTGTTGCATAATTTAACTAGTATAGTTAACGTAAAATAAAAATTTTATTTTAACATTATAAAAGTAATAAAAATAACTTTACAAATACAATAAAATTTATTAGTAAAAAAAAAGTTTAAAAAAATTTTATTATTTCAAAAAACAAGATTTTTTAAATTATATAAAAAATATGTACGACAAAAAAAGTAAATAAGGATAAAATAATTGAAAAATAAAAAAAAATAAAACTGAAGATATAAAAAATAACAATTAAAAATGGATTTTAATTTAATAACTGAAATACATATTGGAAATTCCATAATGGAAAAAAATTTTAAATAAACATTTGATTTTGAAAACAGGAAAACCTTTTTTTTCAAGAAAAAAAAACAATAATATACCTAATAATTTTAAAAATTTTCAATTTTTTGTGAGTATATAAATTGCATGAAATTTTTGTTCAACATCAATTTCAGGTTTTGTTTTGAAGATTACAAATCTGATCAAAAAAAAGAAGGTAAAATTATTTAAATACTTATCTTGGCACTTTTTAAGATTATGAATAAATTATATTATCTTAGTATGACATTAGTACTTTATTAATTATAATATTATAAATATATTCCATTAAAAAGTACTCTATAAATCTGAATTAGTATAGTTTTTTACTAATAAAAGAGTGCGTATTCGTTAAACAGTTTTTACTAATTGCTAGTAGAAAACTACAAATTCATGGAGTAAATCGATTTACTAATTTGAAGTATAGTAAAAAATACGATTTACTCCATGATCAAATTTTCATTTTTTTTTTTTTTTTTTTTTTTGATTAATCAAAATCAAAAATTATGAAGAAAATTTGTGATAGGTTATTTTTAAAATTCGCTCCAAAATTTGTTTGCCTATTGTTTTTTTCGTACATTTGCAATTTCGGACAAATGAAAATTCGAAATTTTAAAAATTTTATCAAATAAAAATTTGGACAAATGATAATTTCGATATATGAATTGAAAATTCTGTTTAATAATTCTGCTAAATTAATATTCGGTTAAATTAGAATTTTTAAAATAAAAAGTTGACAAAGAGAAATTCTATAAAAAAAAATCGGTCATATAAAAATTCGGTACCTACAAAATATTGTAATATAAAAATTCGTTTAAAAAGAAATTCTTTCAAACGACTAAAAATCGAAAATGAAAATTCGTTAAATAAATAATTATATCTAATATAATACTTTAAAATAAAAATTTTAAACATTAATTTTTTAAGGAACATTTATTTTAATTTTAAAAAAGTGAGATAAATAATTAAAAAATTAATTATTCTTTAAATGTCATAAATTTTGTTTAATTAGATAAAATCTTTTACTCTACTATTCTTTGTGCGTTGGACATTTTGTCTTAGTCATCGAAGGTGATCATCGATGTTCAAATGAAGGTGGACGAGTAAGTTATTAATTATTATTATTATTATTATAAATAGTAATTCAGTACCATTGTTTTTATTATAATAAGAATAAACAAAAAGAATTCATAAACATAAAAAAAATTTATTTGATTCAAATCCTCGATTGCTTGACAAATAAATATTTATTTGTATCAAATAATAATTATTATTTGAGTCAATTAAATGGTATTTCTTTCAAATACGATCGACAATGTTGTCGAAATCTTCGATGCGATGAAAAGGAGAAAAGATGTGTATTAAGAAGAGGAGGCAAAAATTGCCTTCAAGAGGAACAAGGAGTAAGAACAATTTTAAATTTATTAAATTATATATAATTTAATCTTATGTACATTTATTATTATTATTATTATTATTATTATTATTATTATTATTATTATTGTTAAAATTGTTATATTAAAATATAGAAAATAATATTAATTTGAGAATTAATGATTAAAATAATATTATTATTTATTATATGTTTATTAAATTTTTTTTTGTAAGTTTGAATATTGAAACTTCTAATCGATTTACTTCTTTGATTTTAATTTCTAGTGTCACAATGACAGACAATGTTGTCCAAATCTTCGCTTCAGTAAAGAGAACGGTTTTTGAATTTTTAAATCATTAAGCAGATGCCATAACATTTAATTTACCAAAACGTAGAAAAAACCTATGTAAATTTAATGCAAAAATGTCGACCTCCAGAGGCACCCCTTAATATTGAGATAAAGGGTTTTAATTTATGCCAAAATTTTTTTTTATTTTTTTCCTTCCAAACTAGGGGGTGGAATAAATTCGATTCCAAAATGACCATATTAACGACCACCCTAATAGACATTTATACATCTAATTATAGATTAGTAATGTAGGATTATATTCTACAAATAGTAAACTAATTTTTAAACCAAAAGAAAGAAAATCATATCTTTAGGAAGATATTTTAACATCATCCTTTTAACAAAACCCGAATAATCAATTAAATTCTTTAATTCTGTTTCTTTGTAATTAACAGCATGTAAACCAATATTTGACAAAAGAAACTTATTATTTTTAGCTTTAATTTCAAATCCTTCTAAATTAGAATTTAAACGATCTGGTTCGGCATGATAAATATGAATTATATCATTTAACTGAAATTTCTCTTTTAAATTGATGAACTCTTGATCATTTTGGGGATAACCAAAGAATTTATATTCAAAAATTGAAGAACCATTTCGCTCTAAAATTATAGAAAAGTATAATTCAAACTTCTCATGAATATCGTTAAGTAATTGATGTAATTCTATAGTCATAGTCTTGTAATTTATATTAATTTTTAAGAATACCCTGTCAGCATAACCTAAAGCATAAAAAAAATATTTTAAATTATTTACTCCTGTTCCGTTGTAATTAATGGTTTGTAAACTTTTTTGTGCCAAAATAAAATTATTATTTCGTGTTTTATTATTAAGACCTTCAAAATTTGACTTTAGGTGACCTGGTTCGGCATGATAAATACGAATTATATCATTGTACTGAAATTTCTCCATCACATTAATAACCTGTTGATCATTTTGGGAAGAACCAAAGAATTCAGTTTCAAAAATAGCAGAACCGTTTCGTTCTAAGCTGATTATAAAATATAATCTAAAGTTCACATTAATAATCGTTAGCAATTGTTTTAATTCTATTGTCATAGTCCAGTAATTTATATCAATTTTAAAGAACACCTTATCATTAAAACCCAAAGCATCAAAAGAATATTTTAAATTATTTAATTCTATTTGGGTCAAATTAACAGTCTGCAAACCTTTATTTGACAAAAGAAACTTATTGTTTTCAGCTTTGTTTTTAAATCTTCCCAAATTAGAATTTAAACGATCTGGTTCTACATGATAAATATGAATTATATCATTGAACTGAAATTTCTCTATCAATTTAATAAGATTTTGATCATTTTGGGGATAACCATAGAAATTATAATCAAAAATAGACGAACCATTTCGTTCTAAACTAATAGAAAAATATAATTCAAAATTCGGATGTATATCATTAAGTAATTGGTGTAATTCTATTGTCATTGTCTTGTAATTTATGTAAATTTTTAAGAACACCCTATCATCATAACCTAAAGCATAAAATAAATATTTTACATGATTTAATCCTGTTTCGTTGTAATTAACTTTTTGTAAACCTTTCTGCGTCAATATAATATTATTAGTTTGATATCTATTATCAAAACCTCCAAAATTTGACTCTAGGCGACGTGGTTGGACATGATAAATACGAATTAAATCATTGTACTGAAATTTCTCCACCACATTAATAAGCTTTTGATCATTTTGGGGAGAACCAAAGAATTCATATTCAAAAACAAATGAACCGTTTCGTTCTAAGCTGATAATAAAATATAATTTAAAGTTCTTATTAATATTGTTGAGCAATTGTTTTAATTCTATTGTCATGTTCTTGTAATTTATAAATATTTTTAAAAAGACTACATCAGCAAAACCCAAAGCATCAAATTCATATTTTAAATTATTCTCTGTTTTCTGTGAAACTTCTGTTTTAGCTTCTCGCACTTCAACATTAATCGACATAAATTGTGAAATTGTATGATTCTTTACATCACTGATATACGTTTTACCACGAATTTGTTCTTTTACATAAACGGAATAAACATCTGGTAATAATTTGATAATCATAACTTTTCCAACAATAGTGTGACATTTGTCATTCAAATATAGACAAGAATTTGTTAGATCAGTTGGTGATTCAATGGTAAAAGTAACATTAACATAGGTTTCCTTCGTCAACATCAAAGGTGAATTAGGTTTCAAATCTCCTTTTACGTTTGTAGATTGCAAATTTTCAGGATTTATACTAAAATCCATACCAGAAATGAAATGACGGTTCAAATTTGTCTCCAGACATCTTTGGATAGTTAGATTGCTTGTAGAATTAAAAGAATTATTATCACTTTGTAAAATTGATGGCGAAGATACTTGTGTATTATTAGCTTGGTTACATTTTACTGAACGTATAAATAATGTTGTTCGATCCATTACACTCATGAAAGTTTCTTCATTTTTATCTTCATTGGCACTTAATCTAGTTGAATAATCATAATTCTGTATTAAATTACTCTGTTTATATAAACCAAGATGTAAACTATAATTAATCAATTTTAGATTATCAATATCATTTGCTGACAATAACATTTGTGAGTAATAATTTTCAACAAATCCGTAAATCTTTACGTTTTTGTAAAATTCAGACTGATATTCTTGTAATGTTGAAGGTGATACATCATTAGAATTGTAAATTGGCAATGATAACCAGTTTTTGGTTTCAATTATTATCCGTAATGGAACATTTTTTGAAGCAGATATCATAGGCACGCCATCAAAATTTGTTGTTAAAGTTTTTGTCATATTTTTTTCTCCCGCAAGATTTAATATGATTAATTTTTCATATGGTAAATCAGTAAGAAAGTAAAAATATAAATTTTCTATTTCGGAAGGTGTTTCTACCGTTAAATTAAATGTTGTACCTTGTTTAATTATTATACCAAAATGAGTTTTATATTGGAAGGTTTGATTTTGAATTCTTTGACTGGTCCATGGTTCTGAATAATCTTGAATTAAAGGCTCGACAATTCTTGTAGTTATCTAAAAGATGAATTTATAATTTATATGTAAAATGCATGTGGTGATGAAGCAAATGTATCTTTTAATTAATATTTTTCTTAAATTTGTATGTGCTTTTGCACTAAAGAACATTTTATCTTTTCTTTTCTTGTAATCCCGTACATTGTAATTAAATAAATATTTAAAAACTTACGTCCAAATTCCATTGCAGTGTTTGCTGTGAAATTGTACTCGACACAAATATTAAAAGCAATTTTATCAATATTAACGAAATCATGATTTACTATTGCATTAGTGACTATTCGTTTGACAACATTCGATAAAATATTAATTTTTTTTTACAGCTTATATATTTCTTAATGTTTACATAGGTATTGTAAAAATCGTCAGAATGTTTATAATCGATGACGTAAATCGATATCTAAACTAATGTATATTATAATATTTTTTGAACAAGTCAACAAGAATATATGTTACTAAATCTATTTGCACCCTTTATAATAAACTAGAATAAATTAAAAATGTTTTTTTATAAAATATTAGAAGGGGAAATATCCATTTACATTTTTGCTGTTTATATAGGTGTTTAAAAATTAACAGAAATTTATAATTTATGGTGCTAATTTATAACGAAAACATTAAAATAAATAGAATGTTCTATTTAATAAGTCAAAAAGTATATAGATGTTACTTCAAGGTCGTCCATATTCCACGTGGCCAGTTATAAACAATAAATTCATAAAAAATCATACAGGATATCATACATGATCCTGTTATTTTTGAATACAATTTGTATGTCACTTAGGAAAATGAACAGTTTATAAATGTAATATAAATTTATGATCAATGATAAAATTCATATTTTCCATGCAGAATCACATCGTTTAATTGTTTAATTCGGAGAAATATCATAAATTAAAACATAATACTTTTGTTCTGACAAACGTTGGTTTAAAAGATATCAAAGACTCTTTTATATTTCTTCAGATATTAAAAGAATTCATGAATTCCATTCAAAAAATACAATATAGACTTAAACAACATATACTTTCCAAATTTTTGGATTCAGATTCAAAATTTGTACCAAGTGGGAATTGTTCCTAATTAGAAGTAACATTCGTGGATTGAATTGAAGGAACCTTTTCTTTAATTATAATTTTTAGAACTTTAGAGCTTCGTTCAAATTGAAAAAATTTGTCAGTGAATATATTTTAATGTGTTTAATACTGTAATAATAATAATAATAATAATAATAATAATAATAATAATTAATCATAACCTAATTTTATCTACTAATCATATATTTTTTTTCAATGTATTACACAATTGCCCTTAAAAGATTATTGTAATTATGGGCTGAAAAAACTATAAATAAATAAATAAATAAAAAAATAAATTACATTTATACTATTGAATGACCTTGTACTCGTTTTCTAATAAAAAATGTTTAAACTTTATTTTTTATATATATAAACTAGACAAAAAAATTCAATTTTTCTTAGGCAGACTATTTCATTGCAATTTCTTGCACAAAATACACCTAAAAGTGTAGAAAAAAATTGGCAGCTAGATACGAGTAGAGGAAGACCATTATTACCATTACCATTATTCTATAACATTCTTTTTATATTCAAGACGTTCTGTTTTTAATTAAACTTTATTACAATTTAATGATTTACAGGTATTGGTAATTTTTTCTAATATAAAACATAAAAATTATAACTCATCTTGGTTATGTCCAAAAGGTTTTGAATTGAAAATTCGTTGTTAACAAATTTTTTTTCTTAAATTTAACAGCGACAGGATGATTTGTGAGGTTCTTAAAATATTAAATTGAATACCCGGATCAAATAACTCGACCGACGCTCAGACGCACGCTCTAATGGTAGTCGGGTAGCAGTGAGCCGCCCACAGGCTGTCACTGCTACTTGACTGGTAATAGAGCGTTCGTCCGAGCGTCGGTCGATTTATTTGATCCTGGTATTCAATTTATGTTTATCTCCATTTTTTGAAAAATGGATTTATCAGATTTTGAAAATTTACTCCTCATATAATATTGTAAATAAATAATATAAATTTATCTAATTAATCTAATTCAAAATATTTATATTTAATATGTTTTTTTTCTTGCAATAAACAAGCTTTTTAAAAATTTATACTTTTAATTATTATCACATCAGTTTAAAATAATATTTATTGTTAGCATTCACCACGAAAAGAATCACAACATGCTCAACTACCATATTTGCAACATCCCCAATCGCAATTTCCCACAAATCAATTTTACCTCCAAAATTTGCAATATACACCAAGTTGTTATGAAAACAGATGGCAAAATTAGCAAGAAATTCAAAATCACCAACTGCCTAGGAATTACAATCATGAATCAATGCAGGCGACTTCAAGTAATAATACGGAACAAAATGTACCAAAGGTACAAAATGTACGAAGTACAATTCCCATTACAACTGAAATAATTCCTAGTAATTATAATCAGGTGCACATCTTAAATAATAAAAATATTTTTTTAAATAATATATTTAAACTTTATTTTTATAAGTCATTTTAAAACCTTGTAGGATTTATTAAACTTTTTGAAATCCCATATGTTGAAGGAAGAGGAATTTTATTGATATGTATAATAAAAACAATAAATCTTTAACACAAAGAGTTCATAAAACACTAGTGCAAGTTTTAATCAAAAGAGAAAAAATAAAAGTTTTAAATTCATTAGAAGAAGGCCAAGTGTTGCAATTATGGGAGTATGTAAAAATTTTGTAATTCTTATGTAATTAAAGAAAAAATTTTTATCACCTTTTTTTAGAGAAAATAACATGAAATTCAATATTTATTTCTTTAATTATTGACACTTTAAGCATTACACTAATTTGTTTATATAACTGAATATATTTTCATGCATATTTGTATTTTGATGTGTATTTGTAATTTCTTTTAGAATTTCCTAGGAAAGGTTTAAATATCTTTCACGAGAAATTGAAAATCGTTTTAAGGGAGAAGTGTCAGAAACCTATTTTTTACCTTTCCGCTTAGAAGAAGGGGTGCATATATCTGCTAGTGGTAAATTAATCGACAGGTTCGAATATGTTAAACAAAAAGATTATTGGGGTATTTAGCCCCATTTTTTTCAAAATTTCAAATTTTTTTCATTTCTGCGTAAATGAGTCTTAAAGTGTACGATCTAAGTTTTAATTTAAGCATATATATAGAAGTGTCAAGCACGTCTGGTTAAGGAATAAAAAAATAATGAAAACCCTCAAAAACACTGTTTTTGGAGACTTTACTTCCACTTATTTCAAAATCCTGATGTGACACGCAATTTTTGAACCTGGAATCGGGTTCAGCACACAAAAATACATTGGAAACCACTCCGCTTGAGTTTTGATCTCATAAAAAAATTTGATAATTTAATAATAACCAATTATTCCGTTTTAATGTCTCTTGATGTATGTTCTCTTTTTACTAAAAAAAAAATTTTTTTCTACTAATGAAAGATTTTATAAACAAATTGATGGTAACACATATTTATTTAACAAATAATTTCTTACATTAATAATTATATCTAAATTTACAGCTTTTTATAAAAATGTAAAATATACATATAGGTGATTCTCCGCACGAAGAATACAATTTTATGTCCCTTGTGTTTTTAAGAAATAAATTGTACATATTGTAATGAATCCAAGGTGAAAAAGTATAAATTTAGTTTTTACAAACAAACAAATAAACATCGCATGAATATTTTAAATTATTTAATTCTATTTTGTAATAATCTGCAAACCTTTATTTGACAAAAGAAAATTATTATTTTGTAATTTACTATTAAAACATTTTAAATCTGACTTTAGACGACTTGGTTCCTCATGATAAATATGAATTATATCATTATAGTGAAATTTCTCTACAATATTAATAAACTTACGATTTTGTCGCTTAGAACCAAAAAATTTATATTCAAAAATAGATAAACCATTTCGTTTTAAGCTAATCAAAAAGTATATATTGAATACCTCATGAATATCAGTAAGCAACTGTTTTAATTCTATTGTCATAGTTTTGTAATTAATTAGAATTTTTAAGAACAACCTATTAGCAAAACCAAAAGCATGAAATGAATATTTCAAATTATTTAATTCAGTTTGAGTTAGGCCCTTTTTTTCGTTAAGCGTCACATGTTTTAAATGACTAATTTGAGCTTCGTTAAAATTAGAGGTCTGCAAACCATTATTTGACAAAAGAAAATTATTAATTTGTGATTTTGAATTAAAACTTTTAAAATCTGACTTTAAACGATTTGGTTCCTCATGATAAATATGAATTATATCATTATACTGAAATTTCTTCACTACATTAATAAGCCTTTGATTATTTTGGGGAGTGCCGAAAAAATTATATTCAAAAATAGATGAACCATTTCGTTTTAAACTAATCGAAAAATATAATTTGAACACCTTATGAATATCATTAAGCAACTGCTTTAATTCTATTGTCATAGTCTTGTAATTAATAAGAATTTTTAAACACAATCTATCAGCAAAACCGAAAGCATGAAAAGAATATTTTAAATTATTCTCTATTTTCTGAGAAATTACTTTTTGAACTTCTCTTACATTAACCGTAATTGACATAAATTGTGTAATTTTATGATTCTTTACGTCACTGATATATGTATTACCACGAATTTCTTCTTTTACATAAATGGAGTAAACATCCGGTAACAATTTTATGCTCATGACTTTTCCAACAATAGTGTGACATTTTTTATTCAAATAAAGGCAATATTTTCTAAGATCAATTGGTGATTCAATGATAAAAGTAACATTAACATAAATATCCTCCTTTTTTTTCTTCAACATCAAAGGAGATTCAGGTTTCAAAATTCCTTTCACTCTCCTAATTTGCAAATTTTCTGGGTGTTTGTAATTAATAGTTTGCAAACCCTTATTAGACAAAAGAAATTTATTATGTTGTGCCTTATTTTTAAATCCTTCCATATTTGAATTTAATCGATCTGGTTCAACATGATAAATATGAATTATATCATTGTACTGAAATTTCTCCACCACATTAATAAGCTTTTTAGTATTTTGAGAAGAACCAAAGAGTTTATATTCAAAAATAGAAGAACCATTTCTTTCCAAAGTAATAGAAAAATATAATTGAAACTTCTGATGTATATCGTCAAGTAATTGTTGTAATTTTATTGTCATAGTCATGTAATTTATATAAATTTTTAAAAAGACCCTATCAGCATTACCTAAAGCATAAAATAAATATTTTAAATTTTTTAATCCTGTTCCGTTATAATTAATGGTTTGTAAACTATTTTGTGACAAAATAAAGTAATTATTTTGTGTTTTATTATTAAAACCTTTAAAATTTGTTTTACTACGACCTGGTTCAGCATGATAAATATGAATTATATCGTTGTACTGAAATTTAGCCATCACATTAGTCAGCTTTTTACTATTTTGAGAAGAACCAAAGAATTCATTTTCAAAAATAGAAATACCATTTCGTTCTAAGCTGATTATAAAATATAATTTAAAGTTCACATTAATAGTGTTTAGCAATTGTTTTAATTCTATTGTCATAGTCTTGTAATTAATAAAAAATTTTAAGAACACCTTATCAGTAAAATCCAAAACATCAAATTCATATTTTAAATTATTTTCTATTTTTTGGGAAATTTCTTTTTCAACTTTCCTTACTTCAACTTTAATTGACATGAACTGTGAAATTTTATGATTCTTCACCTCACTGATATATGTATTACCACGAATTTGTTCTTTTACATAAACGGAGTAAACATCCGGTAACAATTTTATGCTCATGACTTTTCCAACAATAGTGTGACATTTCTTATTCAAATAAAGGCAATATTTTCTAAGATCAATTGGCGATTCAATAATAAAAGAAACATTAACATAGGTTTCCTTAGTTTTATTCTTTAACATTAAAGAAGAGTCAGGTTTTAAATCTCCTTTCATGGCCGTCGTTTTCAAATTTTCTGGGTGTTTGTAATTAATAGTCTGCAAACCCTTATTAGACAAAAGAAATTTATTATGTTGTGCCTTATTTTTAAATCCTTCCATATTTGAATTTAATCGATCTGGTTCGACATGATAAATATGAATTATATCATTGAACTGAAATTTCTCCACAACATTAATAAGCTTTTTATTATTTTTTGAAGAACCAAAGAATTTATAATGAAAGATAGAAGATCCATTTCGTTCTAAACTAATAAAAAAGTATAATTGGAACATATAATGAATGTCTTTAAGTAATTGATGTAATTCTATTGTCATAGTCTTGTAATTTATGTAAATTTTTAAGAACACTCTATCATCATAGCCTAAAGCATAAAATAAATATTTTACATTATTTAATCCAGTTCCGTTGTAATTAATAGTTTGTAAACTTTTATGTGTTAAAATAAAATTATTGTTTTGTGTTTTATTATTAAGACCTTCAAACTTTGACTTTAAGTGACCTGGTTCGGCATGATAAATATGAATTATATCATTGTACTGAAATTTTTCTACCACATTAATTAGCTTCTGATCATTTTTTGGTGAACCAAAGAATTCAGTTTCAAAAACGGAAGTACCATTTCGTTCTAAGCTGATTATAAAATATAAATTAAAGTTCTTATTTATATTGTTGAGCAATTGTTTTAATTCTATTGTCATGTTCTTGTAATATATAAATATTTTTAAAAACACCTTATAATCAAAACCCAAAACTTCAAATTCATATTTTAAATTATTCTCTATTTTCTGTGAAACTTCTTTTTGAATTTCTCTTACTTCAACTTTAATTGACATTGACTGTGAAATTTTATGATTCTTTATGTCACTGATATACGTTTTACCACGAATCTGTTCGTTTAAATAAACGGAGTAAATATCCGGCAATAATTTAATGCTCATGACTTTTCCAACAATAGTGTGACATTTCTTATTCAAATAAAGACAAGAATTTCTTAGATCAATTGGCGATTCAATAATAAAAGAAACATTAACATAGGTTTCCTTAGTTTTATTCTTTAACATTAAAGAAGAGTCAGGTTTTAAATCTCCTTTCATGGCCGTCGTTTTCAAATTTTCTGGGTGTTTGTAATTAATAGTCTGCAAACCCTTATTAGACAAAAGAAATTTATTATCTTGTGCCTTATTTTTAAATCCTTCCATATTTGAATTTAATCGATCTGGTTCGACATGATAAATATGAATTATATCATTGAACTGAAATTTCTCCACAACATTAATAAGCTTTTTATTATTTTGAGAAGAACCAAAAAATTTGTATTTAAAAATATAAGATCCATTTCGTTCTAAACAAATAGAAAAGTATAATTGAAACTTATCATGAATGTCTTTAAGTAATTGATGTAATTCTATTGTCATGTTCTTGTAATTTATAAATAGTTTTAGAAAGACTACATCAGATAAACCCAAAGCATCAAATTCATACTTTAAATTATTCTCTATCTTCTGTGAAATTACCTTTTGAACTTCTTTTACTTCAACCTTAATTGTCATAAATGGTGAAATCTTATGATTCTGTACCTCACTGATATACGAATTACCACGAATTTTTTCTTTTACATATATGGAGTAAACATCTGGCAATAATTTAATGCTCATTACTTTTCCAACAATAGTGTGACATTTCTTATTCAAATAAAGACAAGAATTTGTTAGATCAATAGGTGATTCAATGGTAAAAGTAACATTAACATAGGTCTCCTTCGTTTTATTTGTCATCATCAAAGGTGAATCATGTTTTAAATCTCCTTTCACGACCGTATTTTGCAAATTTTCTATTTGTTTGTTATTAATAGTCTGCAAACCTTTATTTGTTAAAACAAATTTATTACTTTGTGCCTTATTTTTAAATCCTTCCAAATTAGAATTTAAACGATCTGGTTCTACATGATAAATATGAATTATATCATTGAACTGAAATTTCTCTTTTAAATTAATGAGCTTTTGATCATTTTGAGGAGAACCAAAGAATTTATATTCAAAAATTGAAGAACCATTTCGCTCTAAACTAATAGAAAAGTATAATTGAAACTTCTCATGAATATCGTTAAGTAATTGATGTAATTCTATTGTCGTATTCATGTAATTTATATAAATTTTCAAAAAGACCCTATCACCATTACCTAGAGCATAAAATAAATATTTTAGATTTTTTAATCCTGTTCCGATGTAATTAACTGTTTGTAAATTTTTTTGTAACAAAATAAAATTATTATTTTGTGTTTTATTATTGAGACCCTCAAAATTAGACTTTAGGTGACCTGGTTCGACATGATAAATATGAATTATATCATTGTACTGAAATTTCTCTACCACATTAATAAGCTTCTGATCATTTTGGGGAGAACCAAAGAATTCATATTCAAAAACAAATGAACCGTTTCGTTCTAAGCTGATTATAAAATATAATTTAAAGTTCTTATTTATATTGTTTAACAATTGTTTTAATTCTATTGTCATGTTTTTGTAATTTATAAATATTTTTAGAAAGACTACATTATCTAAACCCAAAGCATCAAATTCATATTTTAAATTATTCTCTATTTTCTGTGATACTTCTTTTTTAGTTTCTCGCACTTGAATATTAATCGACATAAATTGTGAAATTGTATAATTCGTTACATCACTTATATACGTTTTACTACGAATTTGTTCTTTTACATAAACGGAGTAAACATCTGGCAATAATTTGATAATCATTACTTTTCCAACAATAGTGTGACATTTGTCATTCAAATATAGACAAGAATTTGTTAGATCAATTGGTGATTCAATGGTAAAAGTAACATTAACATAGGTCTCCTTCGTTTTATTCGTCAACATCAAACTTGTATCAGGTTTCAAATCTCCATTCAGGGCCGTAGTTTTCAAATTTTCTGGGTGTTTGTAATGAATAATCTGTAAACCGTTATTTGCCAAAAGAAAACTATTATGTTGTGCTTTATTTTCAAATCCTTCCAAATTTGAATTTAAACGCTCTGCTTCGACATGATAAATATGAACTATATCATTGAACTGAAATTTCTCTGTCAATTTAATAAGCTTTTGATCATTTTGGTGAGAACCATAGAAGTTATAATCAAAAATAGACGAACCATTTCGTTCTAAACTAATAGAAAAGTATAATTGAAACATCTGATGTATATCGTTAATTAATTGGTGTAACTCTATTGTCATTGTCATGTAATTTATGTAAATTTTTAAGAACACCCTATCATCATAGCCTAAAGCATAAAATAAATATTTTACATTCTTTAATCCTGTTTCGTTGTAATTAACTTTTTGTAAACCTTTATGCGCCAATATAAAATTGTTATTTTGATATCTATTATCAAGACCTCCAAAATTTGACTTTAGGCGACGTGGTTGGACATGATAAATACGAATTATATCATTGTACTGAAATTTCTCCACCACATTAATAAGGTTTTGATCATTTTGGGGAGAACCAAAGAATTCATATTCAAAAACAAATAAACCGTTTCGTTCTAAGCTGATTATAAAATATAATTTAAAGTTCTTATTTATATTGTTGAGCAATTGTTTTAATTCTATTGTCATGTTCTTGTAATTTATAAATATTTTTAGAAAGGCTACATCAGATAAACCCAAAGCATCAAATTCATATGTTAAATTATTCTCAATTTTCTGTAAAATTTCTGTTTTAGCTTCTCGCACTTCAACATTAATCGACATAAGTTGTGAAATTGTATGATTCTTTACATCACTGATATACGTTTTACCACGAATTTGTTCTTTTACATAAACGGAATAAACATCTGGTAATAATTTGATAATCATTACTTTTCCAACAATAGTGTGACATTTGTCATTCAAATATAGACAAGAATTTGTTAGATCAATTGGTGATTCAATGGTAAAAGTAACATTAACATAGGTTTCCTTCGTTTCTTTTGTCAACATCAAAGGTGAATTAGGTTTCAAATCTCCTTTTATGTTCGTAGATTGCAAATTTTCAGGATTTATACTAAAATCTATACCAGAAATGAAATGACGGTTGAAATTTGTCTCCAGACATCTTTGTATAGTTAGATTGCTGGTAGAATTAAAAGATTTATTATCACTTTGTAAAATTGATGGCGAAGATACTTGTGTAGAATTAGCTTGGTTACATTTTACTGAACGTATAAATAATGTTGTTCGATCCATTACACTCATGAAAGTTTCTTTATTTTTATCTTCATTGGCACTTAATCTAGTTGAATAATCATAATTCTGTATTAAATTACTCTGTTTATATAAACCAAGATGTAAACTATAATTAATCAATTTTAGATTATCAATATCATTTGCTGACAATAACATTTGTGAGTAATAATTTTCAACAAATCCGTAAATCTTTACATTTTTGTAAAATTCAGACTGATATTCTTGTATTGTTGAAAGTAATACATCATTAGAATTGTAAATTGGCAATGATAACCAGTTTTTGGTTTCAATTATTATCCGTACTGGAACATTTTTTGAAGCAGATATCATAGGCACGCCATCAAAATTTGTTGTTAAAGTTTTTGTGATATTTTTTCCTCCCGCAAGATTTAATATGATTAATTTTTCATATGGTAAATCAGCAAGAAAGTAAAAATATAAATTTTCTATTTCGGAAGGTGTTTCTACCGTTAAATTAAATGTTGTACCTTGTTTAATTATTATACCAAAATGAGTTTTATATTGGAAGATTTGATTTTGAATTCTTTGACTGGTCCATGGTTCTGAATAATCTTGAATTAAAGGCTCAACAATTCTTGTAGTTATCTAAAAAAAGATGAATTTATAATTTATATGTAAAATGCATGTGATGATGAAGCAAATTTATCTTTTAATTAATATTTTTCTTAAATTTCTATGTGCTTTTGCACTAAAGAACATTTTATCTTTTCTTTTCTTGTAATCCCGTACATTGTAATTAAATAAATATTTAAAAGCTTACGTCCAAATTCCATTGCAGTGTTTGCTGTGAAATTGTACTCGACACAAATATTAAAAGCAATTTAATGAACATTAACGAAATCATGATTTACTATTTCATTGGTAACTCATCGTTTGACAACATTTGATAAAAAATTAATTAATTTTTACTGCTTATATATTTCTTAATGTTTACATAGTTATTGTAAAAATGGACAGAATTTTCATATCGATGACGTAAATCGATATCTAAACTGATATATATTATAATATTTTTTAATTATAAGTAAACAAGAATATATGTTACTTCGTCTATTTGCTCCCTTTATAATAAACTGGAATAAATTAAGAAAGTTTTTCATATAAAATATTAGACGCGGAAATAACAATTTCTATTTTTTCTGTTTATATAAGTGTTTAAAAATTAACAGAAATTTAAAATGTATGATGCTAATTGATACCGAAAATATTAAAATAAATGGAATATTTTTTTAATAAGTCCACAAGAATATAGATATTACTACGTCTATTTGATCCCTTTATAATAAACTAGAATAAATTAAGAAAGTTTTTCATATAAAATATTAGACGCGGAAATAACAATTTCTATTTTTTCTGTTTATATAGGTGTTTAAAAATTAATATAAATTTATAATTTATGTTGCTAATAGGTAACGAAAATATAAAAACCAAGAGGTATGTTTGAAGTATTTAAATAAAGTTTTAATGAATTAGTTTTTTTAGAAAAAATAATTTTTTCAGCATCTCAATATTTTAATAAAAGTATAGCCTCTTGAGGTGGCTAAGAGGCAACATAGTCTCTTAGCAAGTTCCTGCAACAGCACAATATTGCCAGGTTCGAAGAGTTGAAAATTACTGTGTTAATTTTTGTAAATGGGTGATTCTACAAACGAGGGAATTATGAGCGGTCTAGCTTATTTTATATATTAATTTTGAAAAAAAAATTTTTTTTTATGAAAATTGTAAATTTAAATGGTTTCTATTGTGGCACTAAAAAGCAGCCAATGAAAAAAAATATTTCTTGTAAAAAATACACATCAAAGTGCTAAATTCTCATTCATCTGGCATATCCCGCAGTGTAATTGACAGTTCATATTGTGAAAAAATATTTTTCAAGTGTTTAGCGGAAAATTCATACTAGATTAGTAATTTTGAATAGTTGTAGATTATTAATATGGAAATAATTATGACATTACTCTATACCTTATTTATAATTTTATAGGCTTATGTATTGCAAATTTGAATTCTCTATCGGATAGAATTGCTTATTTTTTTATTTAATGTTGTTTCTACCTTTTTTTAAAAAAAACTGCCAAATTCTCATTCGTCTGGCACTTTTGAGACAGGATATAAATTAAGCACTAAAAACAGCGTAAAACTAATAATTTTTTAACATTTTTCGATTTTCTTGACTTAAAATAATCCTCACTAAATTTTTAAGATATTGCTAAACCCCAATCTTTAATATTCATTTTGTATATATAATTATATTAATATAAATAAACAAATAAAAAGTACTTTTTTCCTGTGAATCGGATGAATATCACAATAAAATCGAAATATTTTTTATTATTAGACACTTAAAGTACTCCTACAGATTTGTGATTTGTAAAATTATGTTCTAGTAGAACACATGTAATTTGTTATAAACAAATTATATAAACAAATTACTAATTAAAGCGATACCTTTTATTGATCCTTGTAAAATTCGTTACTCGGGGGTTTTCGAGGTCGCTGATTACGAATCAGAGGTCAGTTTTTCAAAATTCAAAATGGCGGATCCAATATGGCGGACATCTTTTGAAAAAACTTAATATATTCGTCTGAAGTAAGTAGTTTCCAGTGATTTTAAATATTTGTCCGCCATGTTGCATCCGCCATTTTGAATTTTGAAAAACTGACTCCGGATTCATTTTCAGCGTCCCCAAAAACCCTCGAGTAGAGAGTTTCAAGCAAATCCAAACGATTAAAAAAAAAAAAAAAAAACCATAACTTTTGTAATTTTTTAATATTTTGTCTAGCCACTTTCAGATATCTTTTTTAGTGTCATTAACTTGAAGTTAAAGTACTTTTGAGACCTTAAATGAGAAAAAAATGTTGTGTCCATATTTTCTTCATTTTCGTCCTTCGTTTGTAGAAACACCCAAATATACGTTAAAAGAAATTAATTATAGAATTGAATTATTTATTTATAAATTATAAAGATTTTAGAACTTACAGTAGTCATCTTAGAGTTACAATTACTTGTATATCCTGAATGTTGAGAGTTGATTATTTTATATTACTATTATTATTAAAAGTTAATTTGAATGAGGGAAAAAATTAAATTTTATCAGGGAGTATAATCTTTTTCTTTGCTAAAATTTAGACTTCCAATTATCAATTTTCTCTATGATAATAAATACATATAAGATAATATTTTTTTTGTTATTTTAAAATATTTTTATTTAAAATTACTTTCTAAATCATTTACAGAAATATACACAAATTACTGAAGTATCAAAATATCAAACCATATGGACTGTTCTAATTTCAATTCATGCATTATATTTCCAATTAATTCTTATTACTTTTTCCAGAAAAAATTTAAGATACGTCCAAATTAATTTCATCAATTGAAGTATCTTGTAATTTTTTCAATTTTCCCATTTTGTTGAAATACTTCATTGTGTATTGATTAAAATCACATCTGAAAAAGCAAGACAATTTTTCTTTAACAATAATTTTTCCATACACCTCCTGAATTTTTAAAAATATTTAAATGTAAAAAAAAATTAACTGTTGTAAGTAATAATAACAGGTAAAATGCTCCTTAATTTACATTAGTCATTTAAAATAAAATCTATGTTCAATTTAAAATTTCATTATTGAGAGACAAAATTTAGATACTTACAATTTACTGAGAGAATCATACTTTTCCTGCATACTTTTTTGTAACATTATTAAAACAGGCATTAAAGTCAATGTGTTAATAAGATCTCCTCTTTCAGTAAAAATAGTATTGACCCATTTTGAATAAAACTGTACGTGCTTAGTTGTTTCCAATTCATCAGCAATGAAGGTCAATAGTTTTTCCACATATACATGGGGTAGATTATATAGTGTAAGTGAAACTAAAAATTTCAAAATTTTCATTGTAGTTTTATTTCATTTGATTTCTAAAATTTAATTTAATCGCTTTATTCACGAAAATAAATTTTAATATCAATCCGAAGCAGAATTTTCATCGTGTTTCAAAGTAACATCAAAGGAATAATTAATAATTATTCAAAATAAAATAAAGACGATATAATAGTATCGAAATTTATCTTTTAAATGATAATTCCAAATATAACAATAAAATTTTAAATTATAGTAAATACTTACTATCGCATAGAGGAATGTTTTCCACAACTTTTCGTATATGTGAAATTTCACTAAGTTTTAGAGCTGCGATCAGTGCTAAAAATTTTAAAAATCAAAATTACAAATTTTGAAATCTCTAATGAAAAAAAGATTTTTTTTTATCACACATGCATCAATGTTGTAACGAATAAGTGTTTCGTTAAAATCAAGAATTCCCCTGGAAATTAAAATGAATATTGATATTATATTATTAATATGAATATTTATTTTCGCCTCTTCTTTCGTTCATCGTTCTGAAGATGTGACTCTTGTCATGTCTTATTAGATATAATTACGCATATCACATGGGATCCTATATATGATTCCATATAGGTTCCTTTATAAAAACCGTTATGAAATCCTAGGTCGACATAGGAATCCACATAGAATTCCATGTAAAATCATATATGAAATTCGGACACGATTTGAAATATGATTTCATGTAGGAATTTATAATGTTGTTTCTACATTGAAATCTATGTGAATTCCTACATTATTTCCTATAATTTTTCTGGCATATTATTTTTGTTAATTTCCTTCATAATCAACTCACATCAAATCTTATAAAAAATATATAAAATTCTAAAGATTTCCTTATATGAAATCTTACATACAAGTTTTAATATAGGAAACCATATGGGATTTCATGTGCATTCTTACATATGATTTCATATGGATTTGAACATAGGAAATCACATGGATTTATATATAGGAAACAATATAGGATTTCATGTGATAAATTTCAGTTAACTGTTTTATACAGAAGGCAGTTAACAAAAATTAAAAATTATTTAGTAAAAAATTAAATAATATTACCGAAATTTATCTGAAAAGAAAAAAATTTGTGCTTTGCAATACACCTTCTGAGTTAAATTCTCAGCTTATATAGTATTCAATAATGATCTCAAGTGTGAGAAAAAAAATTATCACCATCTGGCGGCGTAAGAGTGGAATTATGATTTACATTTACATTTCCTATGTAGGAATCCATGTGAGAACATATATAGGATCTTATGTAAGATATTAATTAAGATTCTACATGGATTCCATCATGTATGTAGGAATCTATGTAAAATCGTAGATGTAGTATCTTACATAAGATCCTATATATGTTCTCACATGGATTCCTACATAGGAAATGTAAATGTAAATCATAATTCCACTCTTACGCCGCCAGATGGTGATAATTTTTTTTCTCACACTTGAGATCATTATTGAATACTATATAAGCTGAGAATTTAACTCAGAAGGTGTATTGCAAAGCACAAATTTTTTTCTTTTCAGATAAATTGCAGTAATATTATTTAATTTTTGTTAACTGCCTTCTGTATAAAACAGTCAACATGAAATCCCATGTGATTTCCTATGTTCAAATCCATGTGAAATCATATGTAAGAATGCACATGAAATCCCATATGGTTTCCTATATTAAAACTTGTATGCACAGTGGGCCAGGAGACCAAAAAATTTGGCCAAAAGTCATTATCAGATTTTTCAAGAAGGATTATTATGATATCAAATAGACAAGTTAAAGTAGTTAATGTAGAAGTTTTATAACTTTTATTGAAATATTGAAGCTTGTGGAGTAAGTTCATTTAAAAATAAGGCTTAAACAATGTCCGCATGATTATTGGTCTGAAATGAAAATTTTTACGAAAAATTATTAGTTTGCATTGGTTATAATGCATTTTCTCATTAGTTTGAAGCATATAATTTGTAAAAATAGTATATAAGAGTAAAAATAAATTGTATATTAGAAATACTGCGAACAAATTGAGACAAATTATGTTTTTTAATACTACATGTCAATACGCCGATTGAGAGCTCCTCAAAACTTCACGCGATATGAACTGTTGTGATGCCTGAAAGTTTTCAGTAGTTCATGCGTAATAAGCTCCAGGTGCGATCTGCTGCGAAAATTAATTCAGTTTTTAAAAAAATTAGTTTTTACGGTTGTATGCACGGTTTGGTTATGTACAGTAGTAACTCTTTGCGACACCAAAGCTATTTTTGAATGGCTTCTTATGACGTTGCATATGTAAATGTTTTTGGGGTCACTAATTCCTAATTTGAAGACAGATTTTCAAAAAATGCTACTTTGCTTCTTCACTCATCAGCTAATTTAGCGTTATAAAAGAAGGTCTTAAAAATACCACTTTTAAAATTTAGTGTTGTTTTCATAACTGTACATTGTTTTGCCACATTGATTAAAACTTCGATACAGTCTTTTGAGACAAAAAATAAAGTTTTAAGTTTTTACATCTACTATTTTTAAACATCGATCTTGAACATTTAAATGTTGACTCAAAATTTGTGCTTAGCAACCACGAAAGCACTTAAATACCAAGTTTGATAAAAAGTAATTAATTTTTTTAACTTTGTGTTCGAGATATTCGGTCCTTCATTTTGAATTTTTAAATCTGATATCAAATTCATCATCAACGAGCCCGAAAACTCCCGAGTAACAAGTTTCAAATAAATTCGTTTGATTTTTACAATGTAATATGCGATATTGGATTCGCCATCTTCAACTTTGAAAATCTGCCGTCAGGTTTGGAATCTATGACACCGAAAACCCCTGAGTAACAAATTTCAAGCGAATTAATTGAATTTCCAAAAATTCACACGCCATAATGGATCAACCATTTTGAATTTTTAAAATCTGATATCAGATTCGTAATCAGCGACAGCGAAAACCCCCGAGTAACAAATTTCAAGTGAATTTAATAAATTTTTAAAAATTCGTCCGCCATATTGAATCCGACATTTTGAATTTTGAAAATTTGATGTCATATTCGTAATCAGCGACCCCAAAAACCTCCGAGTAACAATTTTCACGCGAATCCGATTAATTTTTTATTTTGTCATCCGCCATATTGGATTCGTCATTTTGAATTTTTAAAATCTGACTTCAGATTCGTAATCAGCGACCCCAAAAACTATAAATACGCCCCTGAATATTTAAAGATTCTTTGTTTTTTTGGGAAATATGATTTTTGGCCAATTATAAGGGTCTCCTGGCCCACTGTGGTATGTAAGATTTCATATAAGGAAATCTTTAGAATTTTATATAATATTTTTTATAAGATTTGATGTGAGTTGATTATGAAGGAAATTGACAAAAATAATATGCCAGAAAAATTATAGGAAATAATGTAGGAATTCACATAAATTTCAATGTAAAAAACAACATCATAAATTCCTACATGAAATCATACACCAAATCGTTACATGGAATTCTATGTGGATTCCTATGTCGACCTAGGATTTCATAACGGTTTTTATAAAGGAACCTATATGGAATCATATATAGGATCCCATGTGAAGATTGTCAATCGGGTCAACGACCCTTCCAGTTTTCCCTTTAGATGCTGATCAATTGGGGGATGACGAGGATGGTTGTATCTTGATTTCTGTACTACGGAAGAAGGATGGAGTATTTTTGGGAAAAGCGGACCTTGTCCCGGGAAGTGGGATTTCTTCATAGAGATGGATTTCTTAGACTTTACTTGTTGATCTGGCTATCTTAGCGAGTGGTCGCATTTCGAGTTTCAGTTATAATTAAATTGAACATTACGTTATATGTGGCAAAAACTGCATCATTTAGACGTTAGTTCAAAGTTAATTAATATTTTTAAAAACTCTTATGACATCGCAACTACTTGCATTAGATCGACAGAGGAACTTACAAAAGAGGTGGGAATTTCCAGATGTGTGCTTTTGGGAGAGGTTTTAAGCATATACGAATTTATGTTATTTATTTCAGAAATGGAAAAATATTTTATTGAAAAAGGTTGCAGAGAGGTCTCCATTAATAGCTACGTAGATATTCAGATGATGAATTACGCGGACAACATCGTTCTCCTTGGGAACTTAGTAAAAAGCTAAATGCATTGTATGATTATAGCCGCGAAAACTGTCTCACTGTTAATGCCCAAAAAGCAAAAATAGTTATTTTTACTAATTCGGAAAACTCTAAGGCGAAGAGATTCAAAGAATTTAAATATGGGACAGATTACATTGAGGTGGTTAAACAATTCGATTATTTGTAGATAAACTTCTCTGGCTCTTGCTCTTTTAAACTCGCTAGTAGAAAAGCGATGAGCGCCGCCAATTCAGCTGTGGGCTCTATTTTGGGTAATATCAGAACAATTGGTGCCAACTCATGGTTATCCTATGAGAAATTATTTCAAAGTATATTTCTGAGTATTTTATTATACTGTGGACAGGTCTGGGCCGGGATTACGACAAGCAATACTGCTAAGTTAGTAAAGTGCTAGTTGGCAATGTCAGTTATATTCACGCTGGAAAAAAATATTGCTACCGGGTGTTCGATAAAATTCTAATCATTTGTCAGATTTAGGTTAACGCATGAATTATTTACAGAAAAATACACACTTAAAAACTATATTAATTGATAAGAATAGAAACATTTGATATCATATTAATTCAAAAAAAAAGACTTTAAACATTTCATTTCATAAATATTGTTAATATGATAGTATTAATATAATTATTTTTATTTAATAAATAATCATAATATTTTCGAGAAACATTTCATTATTTATAATTTATTTTTTATTATGGTTTAGTATATTTAATTGAATAATTATTTCATTTTGATTCTTTTACGTTTTCATTTAATTATTTATTATTTAATCCTGTTTTTTATTGTACTTATAATAATTAATATCTTATAAATGATTAACATTTTTCTTGCTACCCTATATATGATTATTGAAATGGTTATGTTGCATGAAATCTTTCAATTGTTTTCATGCTCACTGCTATCAATTCGAGCAATTTGACAAAAATTTGGTGTCAATTTGCTCGTTTTTTAGGTTAACTTGATTTTAATTTCTATTGTATAAGCTTGTACTTAATTTTTTTTACCAAATAGCAATAAAATGTGATTGTGGGATGAATTTCCTACAAATGTCATGAAATTTTGTTAAGTTATATTTGCTAATTAGCAATAATTGCTAACTTAGCAGCATTGCTAGTCGTAATCCCGGCCCTGGGGTATAGATTATTTGGAAGGTTTGGAAGTAGTACAGTTGGCTTTCTACAAAAGACTCCTTTCGCATCCTATCTGCACTTCAAACTATAGCATAAGACTGGCCACGGGGGCTCTGCATACTTCCTTCCGGGTTCTGAAAGGTATCTTGCCTTGGATCAATAAAATTGTTTTGATGGAATTTTCTAGATATCCAAAACGGTGCCTGGAAGAATTGAAACGGTTGGCTGCACGGCGGCCGGATTATAAATCAAATTAATCAAATGTGACGAGGAGATCAGATGGAATTGCAAATCACCAATATCTCTTGCCGATGTCTTTGGTATCAGAGACACGTTGGAGTATCAAAACTATTAATATCTGACACGCTCAAGTATTTCCATGTAATTGTTATTTTTACATTTTTGAAAATTTGTATACGCTTAACGCACCATCGAAAGGGAAAACTTTATAGAACCTTTTATTTTCCTTATCATCTAAACTACAAAATATCATCGTCCCGACGACGCTCGAGTAAATCCCCATTTAGCATCATGGGCTCCCCTACTGATACAAATAATATAAATTTGAGTAATTACTCGTGGATTAATATTAATGATACAATTATTCGTTTATGGTAACTGTAGTTAATATGTGGAATTCTCCTCCTAGTTCTATTACTATTATTGAAAATTCAAAAATTTTTTAGCTCAAATTATTGAATAAAAATATCCAAAAATTTTACCTTTATAGTACTCGTTTAACTGCAAAGCGTTGTCTATTGCCTCTGGCGTTACTTCTAGGTCTAGTTGAAAAGGGTCAAATAGTAAAGCAGAATTCAAGGAGTACAATAATAAACCTTCAGTTGTCGTTGCTGCCCAAGATTGACCTATTAAATTAAATTATTTCAAAAACATTTTACCTAAAATAATATTATGAAATATAATCATTGAAGATTAAATAATAAATATTTTATTCCTAAAATTTATTCTCAGGTAAAGTAAGAGGGTAGCTAATATAGAGAAATTGGTGAAAGGGAAGGAAAGTGGTTAATATGATTTAATTGTAACAAAAATTAATTAAAATATAAATTTTTACTAAACTTGTGCAGAGAGAGTAGAAATAAATAATAAATATTTTTCTCTTACCCAACGGTGAAAACTGTAAAGCAAATACTCGAATTTCTGGTTTTGTATTTCTTTCCGCCATGTCTCCCATTACAACTCCCGGTAATCGCACTTTAACATTGCCTCCTTCATTATCCTCCCTTTCCTCAATTAAATTTGCATAACCAAATTCAGTCATCTTTCGCCTATTATAAACATCCTAATACAACAATTATAAAATTCATATAGTAAGAATTACAATATTAATTTTTGATGAATTTAAATGATAAAGAATAATAATAATGAAATTAAATTTTTTTAAATAATAGGTACTTACGGAAACTGCATTTAAAGACATATTTTGAGTCACTTCAAATTTTTTCAATAAAATCGATTCCTGAACATTGTAGAGACAAACATTTTTCGAATGACCACCAGCAAGTATACAAGTTCCATCGACTGAGTAACATAATGATGTAAATGCTCTACAAAAAAAATAGTCACAAAAAAATTAATAATTATACATTTTTTTGAAATTTTGAAGGTTTATGTAAATATTTTTTTACTTACTTTCCTTCGAGACTTTTCTTAGCAGTAATTAAATCAGTAGTAGAACGTCCACTACCTAAATCTTTTTTTCCTTCGATATTTCCTGTTTGTTCTGCCGTTTCAGAATGGAAAAATGATATTTGACCATCCAATGTAGCAACTGCCACTTCTTTACCGTCAGGTCTAAAAACTACACATAATGCATCACCTGTTAACTGAATGGATTCATAATTAGAACCACTTTCAATAGCATTCCATAATCTCACTGTTTTATCCCAAGATGCTGAGGCTAATTGGGTACTAGCTAAATTTGGATTAAATGCTAAACTGACTACTGGACCTTCATGTCCACTTAAAATCTGCAAAAAAATATATTTATAAATTCTATTTTATCAATTTTAACTAGAATAATAAAAAAATAAATAATTTCTCTTTTATTTTTACACTTACATCCATCAGACTACCTGTTTTAACGCTCCATAGATAAATTTCAAAAACATTTTGTCCACCAGCTGCAAGAAATTCATCACTTGAATCAAGTGCAAGACAAGAAAATTGAACTGGCTTTGGAGATGTGTATGTCTTGAAATTTCTATAACGTACTAAATCATAAGCACGAATACTTCCATCTAATGATGAGGAAACAATAAATTTTTGATTATGACTAAATGTAACATCACTTATAGAAGAAGTATGTTCTTGAAAAGTAGCGATGCAAAATCCATTCATAGTATTCCATAACTTGACTTTTCCATCGTGACCACCTGTTACTATGAATTGACCATTTGGACTGTAATAAAGGCAAGTCATATTATTACTGTGTCCTTGCTGCTTGAGACAATAGGATTCACTTTGCCATTCCCAAACTAATAGTTGACCGACTTCTGAACATCCCACAGCAATCCAATCACCGGTACAATTAATAGAAATTGTAGAAATACATTGATTGGGAATACTGTAATAATATTTATTAAAAATAAATCTTTTTTCTCAATTATTGGAAGAGTGTAAAATTAAATAATATGAGTTAATAAAATGTTAAATTACTGAAGTTCTATATATATATATTACAACTGGTCATTTTTTCAACTTTATTTTTTTTCTATATTTAATTTTTCCACGTCCCTTATTTTTTTTTAAAAGAAAAAAACATCTGTTTATTTAAAAAATCATGTTCTTTCTTTTTATTCACCGACTCATAATGTATCTGTTTTTTCTCTTGTTTTCTTTTTGAGCAAATAATGAAACGTGTAACCTTAAGTGGTCAACATATACAGAATGCACTTTTTCCAAAAATCTTAGAAATCGAAACATTCGTAAGCAATAAAATTACAAAATACAATCATAAAATCTTTTCGGAACTCTACAAGTGCATCCTCCAGATGTCGACCGCTGGGGTCCTTTTCCTTTCATTTTCGTTTTTGATTTCCTTCTGTTTGTAATAAAATTTGTCTAGGTTCCGAAAATATATATTTTTCTTATAATTCACACACACACACACATATATATATATAGTATGAATGAATGTATAAAATATTTTAGAAATAATATAAATTTTTAATAACAATTAACTTCAATAATTTCATTATTATTTTTAATAAATAATTAAAATGTTATTTTTCAACAATTTATATAAAATTTTAATAAAAACTAGTAATTGTCGAAATTTATAATTAATTATTGTTTAAAATTATTAATATAAGTAAAATTAATAATAAAAATTATAAAAAATATAAAATTAATAAATAAACAATTAAAATTTAATACAATTTAATAATAATCAAATTATTTTGATATTTAACAATAAATAGTTATAAATAATTAAAATTTTAAATAATTACAACTATAATTTGAATGTTAGGTTAGATTATTATACAAAGTTAAAATTAACAATAATTATAGAAAATTATAAATAAATTAAATCTAAAAAATGAATTATTCTTAAAAATCGTCGTAGAACCAAAATTCAAAAAAGGTAATGTAAATTAAGTCAAATAATAATTGTTAATAACAAATTATAATAAAAACTATTATTGTTTATAACAAAAATTTAATCTAATTGTAAAAAGATGCAAAATATAAAAGATCTCCCTTTCTTTGAGATTTTATCCCTACTTTTTGAAAATCTGTTTCTTTAAGGGACAACCCACAAAAAGTCTAAATTTTGAGTGGGGATAGGCCCTTAAAAACGCATGATTGCGTAAGTCAGCAACTCATTAAAAAATTTTACAGTTATTCAAAAAGTTATTTCAACATTCAAATTTCTACATACAAACTCAAAAGAGTCATTCAAAAGTCATTTTCCACATTCAAATTCACATACACTAATTCAAATCAAAATTCTAAAAAGTTATACATTTATTCCAAATTCTAAATTTATTCAAATTTTATATTTTCAAGTTTCAAAAGTTTTGCGATTTTTCTACAATTATTACCAAATCAGAAATTATCAAGGAAGGACGATTAATCGAATATATTTTGCATCTTCAGGGAAAATTATCTTTGATAAATAAAAAAGTAAGTTTTAAAATTATAATTACTATCTTTTCTTTATTTCTTTTTGAAAACTTCTTTCACTTTCTAAAAATCTTTCACAATTTCCCAATTCCAAAGAATACTGCCGTATTAAAGCTGGCGGTTATTCTTTAAAATTGTTTAATTTTAACTATGTGATTCCAAATTATTTTAACCTTTGATTCCAAAATTTGTTAACGTCACTTTATATAGTTGTGACTAACAAATTTTACACCTTATATTATGTATTTCCTTAATTTTTCAATTATCTATAAGAAAATTCAATAGAAATAAAATAATCAAAATCAATTCCCAAGCTATTGGATGAGAATCCAGGCTTAAAATTGTAATAAAATTTTTATAACTATAATTTAAATTTGAAATATAAATATTAAATTATTATTATTTGTTATAAAAATTTATAAAATATTATTTATGTTACATTACGTAACATATATTTTGTGATTTATTAATTTACAATTTTTTTTTAATAAAATCGTATATCTTATAAATAAATATTTGTTAAATTTCATACCTGAGAGAATGAATAAGAATTGCACTTGGAAGTTCGTAAAGAAAGAAACCTCCATTACTGAAACCAACAACAAGAATGTGACTTTGTGAATGATACGCAGCAGAAGTTAAAATTACGTCTTTTGATTCAGTTTTAGCAATGTCTGCTAAATAATGCCTTCCAAGTCGTTTGTATTTTAATTTAATTATCTCGCCTTGATGCTGAACTTCTTGAGTAACATTTTTATTTGTATCTGAAACATCAATGATTATATTATTTGAATTGGAAAATAAACATTTTGTGCGTTCTTCATATATTTTTTTTTTGGAATTTAAGAAAAATTTCAAAGAACAAAATTATAACACCACATGCTAATGTTTTCCAAATTAAAGAAACTACTAGAAAATTGTATGATTAATATATATCGTACCAACAGTCTGCGATGAATCTATTTCCTCATCCATTGATAATTCTGCCATTTTTTCAGTATCGACATAATTTTCCTCATTAATTGTATTTGTTTGTTTGCTCTTTTTTAGTGGTGCTTGATACTCTGAAAGTTCCTCAGGTTGAACAGAACATTCCCAAACACACAGATGACCATTTCTATAATTATTTAAATTTTATTTAAATAAATAAAATAATGAGAGTAATAAGTATTCGTTGATTTACTAAATATATATTTTTCAATTGTACTTATTTTCCCATTCAAAATAAACAAGTTGGTTCAGTGATAAATGTTAAGAAAATATAAATTTGTATTTAAATTATTGAATATATTTTTACCTGCTAATAGTAGACAAATCATAATTTTCCTTTTCGAAAAAGCATCCAACAATTACGTCAGAATGACTAGTGAATGTGTAACTTTTTATATTTATTTCTTTATCAATACTATATAATCTAGTTGTCATATCTTTCGCACCAACTGACAATAATTTTGAATCGAAAGACCAGTCCATACATGTTGTATCATCTGTTGCTCCAGTGTAAACGCGTTCCATTATAAATGGCTTATAATTTTCGAATTCATATGCAGAAAATTTAAATATAAATACTGTAAAAATATTGTAATAATAAAATTTTTTAAATTATTTTCACATTTTAAGATAATTCTCAATTATCAATGATAGCTAATTATAAATACAGTAAAAATATTGGTGGATAAAAAAATTTCAGTTTAAGTGATATACATTATTTTGTTTCTTTAATTAACTTTATGTAACATGATGACAGGTCACGGTGCGCCAGAAGATGGATTAAATAAAAATGTATTGGCACTTAAAAATTCTTTTTGATTATGATTCTTAGATGAATAAAAAACATTTCTCAATAGTTTTTAAAATCAGTTTACGTTCCCGATTTAAATAAAATTGAGTTTTTATATAAAAACAGTGTTTTATGGGGAATCAGAATTTATTTAATCTCATAAATACTGTAATAAATGATAAAATAATTACTTATTTTCAATTTTACATATAAATAATTATATTGCTGTAGTGTTTGTGTCCGATTTTAAAAAATTAAATTATAATGTTAAAAGAACGATTTTAAGAGTGACAAAATTTATTTAAGAGAGTCAAATGATCTCTGAAACTTTTTGGCAAGAAGAGACCTTTAATTATCGCTCTATAAAAACGGCACTAAACGTGAAAATGATAAACATTGATTTTAAAATAATTTCTTCTCGAAAGACGGAAACTTTTTACAAAAGCAGCTAGAGATCCTTATCTTATATAAATTTCCTAAATCCTAAAGATTATACGAATCCATACAAAAACACGATTGGAAAACGAAAAGTAATATAATAACAGGTACATTACCTCCTGCCGCCGTCAGATGGCAGCAGCATGCAGGGCGCACAAAGTCGTAGCTGTTATTAGATTACTTTTCTACTTTTTGTTTTGCAACCATGTTTTTCTATGGATTCGTACCGTCTTTTGGATTTAGGAAATTTATAAAATGAGGATTTTGGCTGATTTTGTTAAAAGTGCTCGTGTTTCGAGAAAAAAGTATTTTAAAATCAATACTATTTCACGTTGAGAGCGATAATTAAAACTCTCTTCTTGCTAAAGAATTTCAGATACCGTTCGACATTCTTAATGCATAAATATAAAAACAAAACAAGAAAATAACTTCAATGTTAATAAATTTATATGAACCCAAATCTAAAACATCTATTATCTATACGCATATAAGTATACATTAAATAAATTCTGGTTCCTCATAAAATACTATTTTTAAATATTTAAAACTCAATTTTTTTTAAATTGGGCACGTAAGCTGATTTTAAAACCTATTGAGAAAAGTTTTTTATTCATCTTAGAACCATAATCAAAAAGAATTTTTAAGTGCCAATTAATTTTTATTTAAACCTCCTTCTGGCGCACCGTGAGGTTTGACATATCAATCCGAAACTTTTGTCAAGGATAATTAAATAAATTATTTAAAATTATTAATAAACAAATTATTTCCTACTTCAGGAAAATCACTAGAGCTGTGCAAAATAATTCGAGCCGATATGATTGAATTTCTATCTTGAATTCGCATGTCGAATTTTTCAACATTCGAGCTGGGCGTGTTTTATCAATGAAAATATTTTTCGGTTTACTTTTTTTAATGTAGAGGTCTCAAATTAATGTTTTCTAAGTTTGTCCAGTAATAGGTGAAATTTTATAAATTGTCCCATAATGGGTACTTTTACCTTAGTTGAATTTTCGAAGAATGTTTAAAAAATCATTAAAAATTATTAAATTTCAGAAAAGTTATAATTAAAATTATTAAATTTCAAAAAATTTTAGATGGAAAATTTTAGAAATAATTAAACTTTAGAAGCTCTTAAATTAAATTGTTTGAATATAATTCAATTTCAAAAGATTGCGTTAAATTTCAGACAATAATTATAAAAAAAGGGAAATTTCTCTATTGATGAAGAATTTATTAGAAATCACAAAAAAATTGAATTCCAAAAGTTTTTAATTGAAAAATGCTTTCAGATAATTGAATTTTCAATTATAAAAATCATTAAAAATAATTGAAATTTTTGGACATAATTAAATCTTAAGTGATTTTGAATAAACATTTTTTTGTAATTTTATTTGCTAATTTTTTTTTTAAATTATAAACAATTATTAAATTTCATAAAAATTTTAATTGAAAAATAGTTTAAGATAATTTGAATTTGTGAAGAATTTTATTAAAATTATTAAAAATAATTAATTTAGTGAAGAATTTTTTGTTAAAAATTTGTTAAATAATTGAAATAAAGAAGATTTGAAGAAGATTTGCATTCTAAACTAAAAAAAACATATTTTTTTTTTTAATTTTGTAGAAAAAATGGGATTTTATTAAAATAAGTCGAAAAAAGTCGTATAATCCGAGGCCTGCGATTCGTGTCAAGGCGCTTAAAAATCGAACAAAATTCGATTCAATCCGAGCTTTGCATAGCTCTAAAAATCGATTCACTATTATTATAATATACATTATAACCGATAATCATAATAATTTAATTAATTATTTTAATAACAAAAATAATTTTCCTGAAAGAATTGTTTTAAACAAAATTATTATCATAGTTTTCTTACCATTATTTTCTTTGCAAACAGCAAAATGTTTACCATCTGGAGAAAATTTTACACTCCTCACACGTCGCTTAAAACGATGTTTGTGAATTATCTTTTTACTAATCATGCTTATAAAGTGTGCATCACCCTCTAAAAAGAAAAATTAGATTTTCTTAATAATTTGTAATTTAACAGATATTAAACATGATGTAAAATAATAAAAGAATAAAAAAATTGAAACAATTAAAATATATATACTAAATTCTTAAAATAATATTATGTATGTTAATTACCTTCATTTACTGCAATTAATATACATCCGTTTGGTGACAAATCCAGAGCATTATAATTATATTTACTCTCCAAAGGAAGAGTTGTAGATTTATCACTAGAAAGAGATATATTTATAGAAATTAAAAAACAATAATTTGAAGTTTTTTATACTATGGTTTTATATGTTGGACATTTACTTACTTTTTCAAATCATAAACTGTTATACGATTTCCAACCGGACTAATCACAGATGTTCCATCACTTGAGAAGATTAAATCTCCGGTAGAGTAAACCGTCCCAAGCAAATTGCTAAACTGTAAGTAAAATTTAAAATTTTTACTCCGTAAAATTACACGAGAGATTTCATATTTTTTTGCAATCGTATTAATTTTCTCTTCTTTTTTTTTTATCTCTTCTATAGTGCATTCTTCACTGTATTTTTGTCGCATTTAATTAATTTTCTTAGGTAAACACAATGCATTTTGTTAAAATTAAAAGTTACGATTACGATTTTTTAGTTGCTTAGCTTTTTCACTCCAAGGAACATTTTTATTTTTTTATAATTCTACTTCTGAGTCAATCTTTCAAGTCAAGAAAACCAAAAAATTCAAATTTTTAAAATTATAATAAAATTTAAAATTAATTAAGTTCGCCATATTGGATCAATGGATCTCGTGAAAAACCCGGTTAATTAATTGAAAATACAATTCTTGAGAAAAGGGACAACTTTGTTGAATCCTCTTTCAGAGTGTCCAGCAATTTAAAAAAAAATTCAAGCATTTTTCAAAGTTTTTCAAGGTCTAAAATAATTTTTTTCAAGGTCCACTTTCAGCGTAGAAACTATGAAAATATTTTTTATTTAGAATAAAGAAAGCTTTATTTCTTAGTTTATCTCAAAAAATATAAGATGAATACGTAGAAATAAAAGAGTTTAACAGTTAAAGAATTGAAAAATTATAGGATAAACAAATTTTAAGAATTCATAAAATAAAATGCGAATTTGAAGGAAAAAATTAAACACGAACAGTTTGAGAAAAAAAAGAAAAAAAAACACGACAATTAGATAAAGGAAAAAAAAAAAAAATTGAGAAAATAATATCAGAAGAAACTTTTGAAAGAAAAATCGAAAATTTAGAAATTGACAAAATAAAAGGAATATTTTGTCAAGAAAATTGAGAATTTTAGACCACTTTGTAATTATTATTATTATATAACTAGCTGTCGCACCCGTCTTCGACGGTTATAATATTTAGATTTAATAAATTTTGAAATTTATAATTACATCCAACTATACGTGTTCTCCTGTATTAAAATATCTTTTTATAAATTTTTAATTATTATTTATTCAATTCAATTTAATTTTTTCACTGCTTTCATATATAAAATTAAATTATTTTCATTTTATTTAAAAGAAATTTTTCTATTAAAAATTCTAAAATTAAAATTCTTAAAATTTCTTGTTAAAAGCATACTTAATTGGTCACAAAATTTTAAATAAAGAACGTTTAGTAAAGAATTATCAAAAAATAAAAAATGTTAAATTTTTAAAATTTTTTGAAAGTGTCATATTTTTGTTTAAATTAATAATTTTCATTGGTGTGCAGCTAAGATTGCGTTTAATACCCAACAGACTAAAAACATTATTGTTTTACTTATAAAAAGTTGAACATAACGAATTCTTATATTACAATGTTATTAAAAAAATTGGAAATTCAAAAATTAGATTTAGACTTTTAAATTTAGACTATTTACTTAATTTAATAAAAAAATTGATTGTATTTATGTGAAAAAATTAGGTACAAATAGTTTCAAATCAATCTGACAAAAAATAAAAAATTTGCATTTTTTTGATTTTTTTAAATTTTTTGAAAAAATGTCATAACTTTCGTTCATGTTAATATTTTTTAATCAAATATGGCTAAGATTTTAAGTTACGTTAAGACTGAATACACTGCCAAGTTTCACCTCAATCGGTTGAGCCGTTTTAAAGTTGTGCCGGTACAAAATATTGACGACAGACAGACAGACAGAATTTTTATTTATGGCATATTTGTTATCTTTACTACTTAAAATGATAAACTATGCAAGAAAAAATTAATTTGAAGCAATGTACAGACAAAAGTCTGATTTTATTAATATAGATAATAAAATGCTTGGTCTGTCCTTCTGTTCTAACTTGAAGTTGGTCTTTTCTGATTTCACGTGTTTTTTTGTATAGTAATCTTATGACGTGTCAAATTTTGACAATTCTTTTTCTCATTTTTGCCAAAGTTGTATAATTGTGTTTCCAAATTTCGGAATAAGTTTCTTTAAAATTCCAATTCGAAAATTCAATTCACGAAGCTCAAGTACACAACGTTTACCAACGAAATTTTTTTTAAAGTTGTATATTGATTCAAAAATTATATACAAATATAAAAAATTTATGATGAGAAAAAAGATGCGCCAGGAAATTTCGTACAAGATAGTAATTTGAAAAAAATTTATTTTAAAAAATTAATTTTTAAGGTACAAGGGGCCAACGAATACCTATTAAAAATTAATTATAAAAACACAGGCCTCGAATCAACTTAAAGACACAAAAAGTCGTTTCAGTCGATTTATATTCCAAACAAAAAGTGGATTTGTTTTTTATTTTAACAAAAATATTTTACAGATTTTTAAATAAAAATTTTTTTTATAATAATAATCCTTTTCGAAGGGTAAAAGTTGAAATTTTTAGATAGGTATAATTAAATTTCAAAAGATATTGTTAATTTTCAAACAATTATTAAATTTTACAGAACTAAAAATAATTTATCAAACAATTTTTGGAAAACATTTTTTAAATTTAATTGAATTTTCAAAGATTTAAAATTGAGATTTTTGAAATTAATTGAAACTTTAAGTGTTTTGTAATTAAAATTTTAGATGATTTCACTAAAAATTTATTAGAAAATGCGGACAAAATACAATAATTTGAAAATCATTTTTAATTGAAAAATGGTTTCAGATTGTTGAAATTTCAAAGAATATTATTAAAATAGTTAAAAATAATTGAATTTCCTTAGAGTTATAATTGAAATTATTAAATTTCAAAAAAAAAATTTTCGATGGAAAATTTTAGAAATAATTAAATTTTAGATGCTTTTAAATTCAAATTATTGAAAATTCAATTAATTTTGAATTCAAATTTTTGAGAATAATGAAATTTTATTTGATTTTAAATTTGGAAAATAATTGAATTTCAGTTCATTTTGAATTGAAAATTTTTTTGGAAATGATTGAATTTTAATTGAAATTTTGGATAATAATTTAATTGAAGTTCATTTTTGATTGAAAATTTAAATAATTAATTTTGAATAGAAATTTTAGAAAATAATCGACTTTTATTTCATTTTAAATTGAAAACTTGGTAAATAATTAAATTTTAAATTGAAAATTTTTGATAATTATTGAATTTTAATTGATTTTGAATTAAAATTTCTTGTAATAATTGAATTTTAGTTTATTTTGAATTGAAATTTTTAAAAAATAATTCAATTTTATTGTGATATATTTTTTTAAATTATAAACAATTTTTAAATTTCATAAAAATTTTAATTGAAAAATAATTTTGATATAATTGAATTTGTGATGTATTTCATTAAAATTATTAAAAATAATTAATTTAGTGAAGAATCATTTTAGTTCAAAATTTGTTAAATAATTGAATTAAAGAAGATCTGAAGAAGATATAAATTTTATACTAAAAAAATGTATTTTATTTACATTTTTTTTCAAATGTAAAAAAAAATGTCGCATTTTATTAAAATAAGTCGATAAAATTCGTATTTTTGAAAAAAGTCGGAAAAAGTCGTATAATCCGAGGCCTGTAAACATATAATTTTCATTATTATAATTTAATATGTAATAATATTCTAATAAATTAAATTATTATTGATAATATTAATCTTTAATTTCTTTATAACAAACAATTAAATACTCAATTTGGCGCGCTTGCGCGCGTTTAATTTTGCTAGTTGAAAAATAAAAGACATCAATTAAAAATTTGTTAAGTTTTAAAATTTTTCCGCAATTAATAAATTAAATTTTATTTTTATTTTGCATTTTGTAAGTGAGCTTATATTTTTTGAAATTTCGTTAAAAATATAAAAATATTTTAAAAATTAACGAAATGACAACTGATCAGTGTGTAGGATAAAAATAATTTTGTTATTTGAATTAGTTTTATTATTGATCACAAATTAATAAAAAAAAAAAAAAAGAAATTAATTTGTTTCTCACGAAGACAAGTATTGCATAGAAAAACGTTAATAAAAGAAATCTTTCTTTTTTAACATGAAATTAAAAAATGTAGAAATTTACTAGAATAGAAAAAAAAATTAAATACAAATTTTTTAAAAAATACGGGTCATAATTATAGTTTCCCATATATTTAAGGTTAGAGTTTAAGCTGACGTGCAAAAATGTGATTGAAAAAAATTCTTTTATTTTTCTTCCTGAATTAACAATAATTTACTTTATTCTATTTGTTTTTTATTTAATTCATTTCAAAATACTTTTTATTTATATCCCCGGTTAGTATTTTAGGTTAAGAAATTTTTTTTCTATATATTATATTTTTTAAACTTTTATTAAACAATTGATATATTATTGTTTGAAAAATAAATAAATAAACAAAAAATATGCTACAATTTTAAATCTGAAGATAAAAAAGTTTTTTGAAATTAAAATTTTTCAAATTTTTATATTTTCAAATCATCATTTATAATAACACTCAGCAAATGCATATAAATTATTTTAATTAGAATAACATTTTTACCTTGTAATTGCATTTCATTTTTCACAAATTTATTATTTTCAATCAAATTAAAGCAATAAATATATAATAAATTTCATATTATTTGTTTACAAACACTGTGAGTTTAAAAACGACCACATGGGATCACATGTGCATTTAACATTTTACCGGAAGTAGCAGGGATGAGAAGTATTTTTTAACTCAACAAAACAAATTCGATAAAGTTCAGTGGGGGAAAATTTAAAATGGACGTAAGCCGGTTGGTCCATAACTCGAGATTTCTCTTAGTTGGTCATATTTGAGATGTTCCATCATAGATCTTAGCGCTCAAGTCAAATGCGGCTTCTTTTAAAAATACTTTATTGTTCAAATTGCTGTTCATAATTTCCATCTCATCCCCACTACTTGAGTTTAAAGATCTGTTTATACAACAATGGATTTTAATGGCGCAGTCAAAAATAGTTTAGGTTAAGTTAATATCAAAGTTGTATATATAAAAAATATATACTAATTTGATGAATTTATCCTAATAATAATTTAATGCAAAAGAAAGCTGCAATAATCGTTAATAAATAGAAGTGAATTTTTATAGAAATTAGTGAAAATAAAATGCCAATAAAGTGTTATAGTGATGAAGTGAATGATTTTATGCCATTAATTTTTAATTTCAATATTATGATCAAAAAGTTATATGCAAAGTTTTATATTTTATAAAAATTATCGAAAATTTGTACAAAAAATTAGTTTGTATTGTTAATTAGATAAAAAAAGAAAAAATTAATGTGAATAATATGATGTTACCCGAACCGGAGAGTAAAGTTATACTATTTTGGTGCTTATTGTTTATCTGTTATACGATAAAATAACGTGAGAAGAATATGTTTGAGATTCTGTTTTACTACAGATTTTAGAATGATTTTTATATGGCACTATATTCTTGCCTTATGGGGCATTACAATTTGTTATGGTATGTTTACTTTTTATATTTTTTACTTTATATTCTTTACTATTGTAGCACTAGTGGTAAATTAGTTTAAAATTTTTTTTGTTTACTTTTTAATTTAATATTTTTATTGCTATAAGCCTCTTTTTCAAAGAAAAATAATAGAACAATATTTATAATATTATTTTTAGGAAAATTTTAATGGACAAGTTTCGTATAGTTTTTTAATTATTTCAGTTTCCGGCCACCTTGAAAAGTTGAAAACCCTTGATTTCCTTTTGAAATTGTTTTCATCTTTACTTAAAAATGATGAAAATTTATTTTAAAATAAAACATTTAATTTTATTAAAATTTTCTTGACAATACTTTTTTTTATTATGAGGTATAATTCCAATTTTCATTCTTTATATTTTACAATAAAGTGTATTAAAATTCACAATTTTTGTTCAATTGTGACAGATTAGTGAAGAAAAAAAACAGACCTTGGTGGGTCAGAACTACAGGCCTCGGATTATACGAATTTTTCCGATTTTTTTTTTAAAAAATACGACTTTTTGCGACTTATTTTAATAAAATGCAACCTTTTAGACTTTTTTTTTTTACATTTTTTTTACAATATTTTTAAACAAAATACGTTTTTTTTAGTATACAATGCAGATATTCTTCAGATCTTCTTTATTTCAATTATTTAACAAATTATATAATAATAAAATGCTTGGTCTGTCCTTCTGTCCTAACTTGAAGTTGGCCTTTTCTGATTTCACGTGTTTTTTTGAATAGTAATCTTATGACGTGTCAAATTTTGACAATTCTTTTTCTCATTTTTGCCAAAGTTGTATAATTGTGTTTCCAAACTTCGGAATAAGTTTCTTTAAAATTCCAAATTCGAAAATTCGTTAACCAACGAAATTTTTTTTAAAGTTGTATATTGATTCAAAAATTGTATACAAATACAAAAAATTAAAGATGAGAAAAAAGTTGCGCCAGGAAATTTCGTACAAGATAGTAATTTGAAAAAAATTTATTTTTAAAAATTAATTTTTAAGGTACCAGGGGCCAACGAATACCTATTAAATATTAATTATAAAAACACAGGCCTCGAATCAACTTAAAGACACAAAAAGTCGTTTCAGTCGATTTATATTCCAAAAAAAGTGGATTTGTTTTTTATTTTAACAAAAATATTTTACAGATTTTTAAATAAAAAATTTTATTTTTAATAATAATCCTTTTCGAAGGGTTAAAGTTGAAATTTTTAGAAATAATTAAATTTCAAAAGATATTGTTATTATTAAATTTCAAAAAAAAAAAATTTTCATTGAAAATTTTAGAAATAATTAAATTTTAGATGCTTTTAAATTCAAATTTTTGAAAATAATTGAATTTCAATTAAAATTTTGTATAATAATTGATTTTAAATTGAAATTTTTAAAAATAATTGAATTTTATTTGATTTTAAATTGAAAATTTGGAAAATAATTTAATTTCAATTGATTTTAAATTGAAATTTTTAAAAAAATTTTATTTTATTTGATTTGAAATTGAAAATTTGGAAAATAATTGAATTTTAATTGAAATTTTGTATAATAATCGAATTTTAATTAATTTTGAATTAAAATTTTGGGAAATAATTGAATTTTAATTGATTTTGAATTAAAAATTTTGAAAATAATTAAATTTTATGTTTAATTTTGTATTGAAATTTTTAAAAATAATTGAATTTTAATTGATTTTGAATTAAAAATTTTTTTAAATAATTTAATTTTATTTGATTTGAAATAGAAAATTTTGAAAATAATTAAATTTTAAAGAATTTAGAATTGAATATTTTGAAAATAATTGAATTTTATTTGATTTTGAATTGAAATTTTGGATAATAATTTAATTTTAGTTGATTTTTGATTGAAAATTTTGATAATAATTAATTTTGGATAATAATTGAATTTTAATTGATTTTGTATTTAAATTTTTGGTAATAATTGAATTTGAGTTGATTTTGAATTGAGATTTTTGAAAATAATTGAATTTTTTTTTATTTTAAATTGAAAATTTGGAAAATAATTGAATTTTAAAAGATTTTGAATTGAAATTTTTTAAAATAATTGAATTTCAATCGAAATTTTTGGATAATAATTGAATTTTAATTGACTTTGAATTAAAATTTTGGATAATAATTGAATTTGAGTTTATTTTGAATTGAAATTTTGGATAATAATTTAATTTAAGTTCATTTTTGATTGAAAATTTGGATAATTAATTTTGAATAGAAATTTTAGAAAATAATTGAATTTTATTTCATTTTAAATTGAAAACTTGGTAAATAATTAAATTTTAAATACGTTTTTTTTTTAGTATACAATGCAGATATTCTTTAGATCTTCTTTATTTCAATTATTTAACAAATTTTTAACTAAAATTCTTCACTAAATTAATTATTTTTAATAATTTTAATGAAATTCTTTACAAATCCAATTATCTTAAATTATATTTCAATTAAAATTTTTATGAAATTTGTTTATAATTTAGAAAAAAAAAATTAGCAAATAAAATTACCAAAAAATTTTAATTCAAAATCACTTGAAATTTAATTATTTGCAAAAATTTCAATTATTTTTAATGATTTTTATAATATTTTTCGAAAATTCAATTATCTGAACAAGCATTTTTCAATAAAAAACTTTTGGAATTCAACGTTTGTATGTGATTTCTAATAAATTCTTCATCAATTGAAATCACTAAAAATTTCTCTTATTATAATTATTGTCTGAAATTTAACACAATTTTTTGAAATTCATATTATTTTCTAAAATTTTAATTTAAAAGTTTCTAAAATTTAATTATTTCTAAAATTTTCCATCTAAAATTTTTTGAAATTTAATAATCAATTATAACTCTCCTGAAGTTCAATTATTTTTAATGATTTTTATAATATTCTTCGAAAATTCAACTAAATTAAACCATTTTTCACTTAAAAAGTTTTTAAATTATTGTATTTTTGTCTGCAATTTCTAATAAATTTTTTAGTGAAATCATCAAAAAATTTAAATTAAAAATCACTTGAAGTTCATTTAATTTCAAAATTCAAAATTGTAAATTATTGAAAATTCAATTATTAATAAATTTTTAATAAAAAGTTTTTAAATTATTGTATTTTTGTCTGCAATTTCTAATAAATTTTTTAGTGAAATCATCAAAAAATTTAAATAAAAAATCACTTGAAGTTCATTTAATTTCAAAATTTAAAATTGTAAATCATTGAAAATTCAATTATTTTTAAAAAATGTTATCTAAAATTATTTGATAAATTATTTTTAGTTCTGTAAAATTGAATTATTGTCTGAAAATTAACAAATTCTTTTGAAATTCAATTATTTCTAAAAATTTTAACTTTGAATCTTCCAAAATTATTATTTAAAAAAAATTTTATTTAAAAATCTCTAAAACTTGATTAAGTATTGCCTGAAATTTTTTTGACCATCAAAACTAAAAACTATGACAAAATTTTTAATTCTAAATTGTTTAAATCAAACTTGAAAAAATTATAAAAATAGAACTTTAAGAATATTTTTTTAAAAATTTGTCTTACTTAAATAAAATTTTGAAAATTTATCTTACAATTAGTTAGATTTTGAAATATTTGAAATAAATTTTCTTGATAATATTTTTATAGAATTATTCTCAATACAGAATTAATAAAATGAATTTAATATTTAATAACATTAGTTATTTAAAGTAAAATAGGTATTCATTAATCAATTAAATTTTGTTAAAATAAATAAAATCGACTATTTCGACTTTTTTTGGAATTTAATTCAACTAAAACGACTTTTTTTGTGCCTTAAAGTCGATCCGAGGCCTGAAACTAAGTTCAACTCAAAATTTTTAACACTTCAAATTTAAATTTCGTAAATTTCGTTTCTAAAATATTTTCAAAATAATTCAAAACCAGAAAGAAAAAAATAGACAATTTTTTGAGAAAATTGAGTTTTTGTATTTCTCATACTCTGAAAACTCTGCTGTTTAGTAGGCTTTGCACTCCTTAGTTAGTAAATAAAAAGCAGCAAAAATATGCTTTCAGTGTGAAAAAAGAAGGAAGAAAAAAAAAATTAAAAAAATAAAATAAAAGAATAAAAAAAATTCTTGCATTTACGAGAAAAAAGAATTTAAAAATTTGAAATTATCTTCAAAATAACTGTTTAATGTTTAGATGTTTTTTCTTATAAATATTAACATTTTACCTTTGAAAAAAAATTATGCAATAAATGTTGATAATAAAACATTTAAATTATAACATTATTAATAATGCTTTTCTAATTACTGAATTAATAAAAAACATTCCCGTGGTTATAAAAAATAAACAGTTAATTTTTGAAAAAGTTTAAGAAATAAATAATTGATTATTAAATAAATTTTAAGAATTCCTGAAATAAAAGGAGTATTTTGATTGATAATAATATTTAAACATATTGAAGAATTTAAAGACGAAAAATCGAGAAAGAAAAAAAAAACATGAGAATTTTAGGAAAAAATAAAAAATTAAATTAATTTTAATACATTATAATTAATTGATCGTACTAAATGTTGTTTTTATTTTCATCAGGTTCCCCAACACTTTTATTCGCAACCGATACGGATATACGAATGGCAAATATTTCACGTGCAAATAAAGTGACGACTATTGTTAAAGATTTAACAGACGGTACGGCCTTAGATTTTTATTATGAGCGTGGATTAGTTTGTTGGTCCGATAGTGGAGATGAGGTAATACAATGTATTCGTGTAAATGGTAATTATGAAAAAATGACAATTGTCAAGTCAAGTTTAATATCTCCCGATGGTTTGGCTTGCGATTGGTTCACTGGTAAACTTTATTGGACTGACAGTGAAAAAAAGAGACTAGAAGTAACAAGTATAAATGAGCAATATCAAAAAGTACTTTTTTGGACAAATGTCTCACAACCAAGAGCAATAGCACTCGATCCAATGAAAAGTATTTTTTTCTGGACCGATTGGGGTGATGAACCAAAAATTGAAAGAGCATCAATGGACGGAGATTCCAGTACTCGTCAAATAATTGTTTCAACAGAAATTTTTTGGCCAAATGGTTTAACATTGGATTATGAAAAAGAATTAATATATTGGACTGATGGAAGATTAAAATTTATTGCAGTAATGGATTATGAAGGGAAAAATAGAAGAGAAATTATTAGTAAAGGCTTGGATTATCCTTATGCAATTACATTTTTTGATCAGAAACTTTATTGGACGGATTGGAAAGCCTGGGGAATTTATTCATTGGATGTTCGTTCAAATCAAGGACATCCTCGAGAATTATGGATTCAAGATATACATGTTCCTGGTGATATTGAGGTGTGGGATTCAAAGAGACAACCACAAGGAGAGAGTCCATGTAAACATAATAATGGAAATTGTTCTCATCTTTGTCTTTTGAGTAGTAAACCATCGGGATATTCTTGTGCCTGTCCAACTGGTGTTAAACTAGTGGATAATTTTACTTGTGCTAAAGGACCAGAGAAACTTCTTCTTATTGTACAACAAACGGAAATTTGTCATTCGTCTCTGGATACACCGGATTATACTACATTTATATTGCCATTACAAAATATTAGACATGCAATTGCCATTGATTTTGATCCAGTTGATGAAATGCTTTATTGGACAGATGACAAAGCTCGAACAATTCGCAGGTAATTTAGAATTTTTTTTTTTTTTATCATCTTCCATCATCAATTAATTTTTCTCAAGTTCTTTGATATTTTCTAAAGTAAAATTTACATTTTAAATATCAGGCTTGCCACGGCTCAGAGAAAAGTCAGGGAATTTTATGAAAAAGTACTGGAAAAATATCAAATTTCTAAAAATGCTACTAAAATTATAATTTTTGAAATTTTCAACTTAAACTTTTGCTTCTAAAAATTATTGTCTTACATTTTTATAATTGTAAACCTCGGATCGACTATTGAAAGAAAAAAAAAGTAATTTTAGTCGATTTACATTAGAAGAAAAATCTAGAAAGTCAATTGTTTTTATTTTTAATCAGTTGATAAATATTTTATTATTATTAACAATTTGTTATTAGAAATAAAATAAAATTTATTAATTCCTTAATAAGAATATTTCACACAAATATTATCAAGAATTGTTCTTTTTAAACTATACCGTATTAAACTGAGACAAATTTTCAAGATTTCAATTCAGTTTCAGAACAAATTTTCAAAAAAAATTTAAAATTACATTAAGGAAAAAAAGAAAATTTTTCAATTCTGATTTATGCATATTATTTGAATTCAGAATTTCGGAAAATGTTTAAATAATTAAATTTTCGAAGAATTTGATTAATATATCTAGTGTTGAAAAAAAAAATTAATTTTAAATGAAAATTTGTGAAAAAATTGAATTTCAGAAGATTTTTAATTAATATTTTAGAAATAATTGAATTTGGAAGAGTTTGATATAAAATTTTTAGAAATAATTGAATTTTAGAGAATTTTCAACTGAATTTATGTTCTAAATAATTGAATTTTGATGGAGTAACAGTTAAGAGTTTTAGAAATAATTGCATTTTTTTTAAATTTCAAAAATGATAATTTTGTTGTAAATATAAACATTAATTAAAAAACGATTTAAGTAATTGGATTTTTGAAAAATTGAATTAAAACTATTGAAATAATTAAATAAACAAAGAAATATATATAAATAAAAATTTGGGAAAAAAATTTTCAATTGAATTAATATTCAATTAGATATTCAATTACTAATTGATTTTGGAAGAGTTAGAGTTAAAATTTTTTTTGTAAGTAATTAAATTTCAGAATATTTTTGAAATTGAAATATTCAAAAATTTTAATTCATTAAAATATTAGTTTACAAACTTTAAAGAATAATACAATTTTAGAGTATTTTTAATTAAAAAACTTTTTATTTCCCTGAATTGTTTGAAAAATTGTATTAAAGTAATTAAAGAAATTAATTTAGCTAATAATTTTAAATAAAATTTTTAGAAATAATTGAATTATTGAAAATTTTAGAGAATTTCCAACTGAAAAATGTTTTTAAAAAATTGAATTTTTGATTTTTGAAATTTTCAATTAAAATTTTAATAAACTTTAATTATTGAAATTTTTAAAAAATTATACCTATAAAGAAAAATTTAATCTTAAAGAATTAATAATTAAAAAAACGTTTTACTTAATTGAATTTTTTAAAAACTTAATTAAAGTTATTAGAAATAATTAATTCAAAAAGAAATTGAAGTTAAAAATTTTAGAAATAATTGAGTTTTGGAAGAATTAAAATTTTTTGAACTAATTTAATTTCAGTAGATTTTTAACTAAAATTTTCTAAAAATTGGAATTTCTGTAGATATTTTATAAGCTTTAAACAATAATTAAACTTTGAAGAATTTTGAATTGGAAAATGTATTAAAAAATTAAATTTTTCGATTTTTGAAATTTTCCATTTAAATTTTAATAAACTTGAGTTATTGAAATTTTTGTAAAAATTATATAAACAAAAATTTTATTTTGATGCATTAATAATTAAAAAAATGTTTTATATAATTGAATTTTTGAAAAACTTTATTAAAATTAATAGAAATAATTAATTCAAAAAGAAATTGAAGTTAAAAATTTTAGAAATAATTGAGTTTTGGAAGAATTAAAATTTTTTGAACTAATTTAATTTCAGTAGATTTTTAACTAAAATTTTCTAAAAATTGGAATTTCTGTAGATATTTTATAAGCTTTAAACAATAATTAAACTTTGAAGAATTTTGAATTGGAAAATGTATTAAAAAATTAAATTTTTCGATTTTTGAAATTTTCCATTTAAATTTTAATAAACTTGAGTTATTAAAATTTTTGTAAAAATTATATAAACAAAAATTTTATTTTGATGCATTAATAATTAAAAAAAAGTTTTATATAATTGAATTTTTAAAAAACTTTATTAAAATTAATAGAAATAATTAATTCAAAAAGAAATTGAAGTTAAAAATTTTAGAAATAATTGAGTTTTGGAATAGTTAAAATTTTTGGAACTAATTTGAATTTCAGTAGATTTTTAATTAAAATTTTGGTAAATTGGAATTCCTGTAGATATTTTATAAGCTTTAAACAATAATTAAACTTTGGAGAATTTTGAATTAGAAAATGTTTTAAATAATTAAATTTTCGAAAATGTTAATTAAAATTATTATAATTGAATTATTCAACAAAGAATTATAGAAACAAAATTTAGAAATAATTGTTATTTTAGAAGAGTTTGAGTTAAAATTTTTAGAAATAATAATTGAATTTCAGGAGATTATTAATTGAAACTTTCATTTTGAATTGATGACCTTTTTTTAAATATTTTAGACAATATAATTGAATTTTAGTGAATTTACAATTGAAAACTGTTTTAAATCATGTAATTTTCGAAGAATTTGTTTTAATTGAAAATAATTGATTTTACAAACAATTTAAGTGAATATATTTTTTTAATTATTCAATTTTAAAAAATAGAAAAAAATTTCATGTAATTCAAGATCTGTATTTGAAAATCTCTTGAAATATTTTCATTAGATTCAAGGAAAAAATTTTAATTTCCACTTGAAATCAGGGAAAAGTCAGGGAAAAACAAAATATTATTTTTGTGTCAACTCAGAATATGTACTTTTATTAAAAAATAATATAAAGATTTTTTTTTTCTTTTGCAATTGCATTATTTTTATTTACATTTTCCCCTTTTTTTTAATTAGAGCTTTCTTGAATGGTTCTGGACAAGAAAATATTACAACCACCGAAGTGGAAAATCCCGATGGAATTGCAGTTGATTGGGTTGCTCGTAATTTATACTGGACTGATACTGGAACCGATCGAATTGAAGTTGCACGTCTAAATGGAAGTAGTCGAAAGGTATTAATCAATGATGATTTAGTTGAACCTAGAGCAATAGCCCTAGCTCCAGAGTTGGGTTGGATGTTTTGGACTGATTGGAATAAAAAGAAACCAAAAATTGAACGTAGTAATTTGGATGGCAGTGAAAGAATTCTTCTCATTACTGTTGATATTATCTGGCCTAATGGAATCGCCGTCGATTTGGAACGAGAGAAAATTTATTGGTTCGTTAAAGTTTTTCTTAATACGATATATTATCTGAATTTTTGATTTCTTCTATTGTATAAATATTGAAAGGGAATAAAATTAAAATTAATTTTCCTTTAGGTGTGATGCAAAAACTGATAAAATAGAAGTTTGTAATATGGATGGTTCGAGTAGACGGGAAGTTATAACAAAAAAATTAGATCATCCTTTTGGATTAAGTTTACTTGATGATTATTTATATTGGACAGATTGGCAAAAGCGAAGTATTGAACGTGCACATAAATTAACAGGCAATGAACATGAGGCAATAATTGAAAATATTCCCAATGTAATGGGACTCAAGGCAGTGCATTTGGGAAAAATTAGAGGTACAAATCCATGTTCAAAAAATAATGGAGGATGCAGCCATTTGTGTCTTAACAGACCTAATAATAAATATGTTTGTGCATGTCAAATTGGTTATGAATTATCTAGAGATAAAAGAACATGTGCTGTACCAGAAGCATTTTTATTAGTAGCTAGAAAAGAAAATATTGTCCGAATAAGTATTGAAAATACAAATAATGATAATATTATACCCGTGACTGGAGTTAAAGACGTAAGGTAAGAATTTTTTTATTCAATAGCTATTTATACTTTTGTTTTTGCAAAAACATTAATTATTATATTCTACTTTTGGATACTACTGTGAAATAAAAAAAAATGTTATTAATTCGTTAAATTAAATTGTGATGGGAAAATATTTCTTGATATTATTTCGAGAAATAAAATTATCAAATATCTTAAAAGGGTTGCCACAAGACAGGGAAATGTTAGGGAATAAAAAAAACTTGCTGAAAAAATATAAATCTAAATTTTTTTTATTATAAGGTATCTAATATGTTCATGTGTTAAAATCAAAGTGTCTAGCGATCCTTAAAAATATTGAATTCTCTTTGAATTTATTTGTTTCACCCTGGAAAATATCTAAATCAATTTGAATTTTAAAACAAAACCCTGAATTAATAAAATGTTATGAAATAATATTTATAGTTTAAAATACTAGGATATAAAAATCTCAGTTTAAATTAAAAATTAAGAAGAAAAATTTAAATCCAGAGAATTAAATGTGATGTAAAAAGAAATTTACATCATTAAAATTCATTCAAATTTAAACAATTACCTTAATCAATTTCTGATTTCCAACAACAAATCGACAAATTTTTTTACAATTATTAGCATACAAATACGTACAAAATTTCTAAAAATCTATTAAAATAATTTAATTTTTGTAGATTAATAGGTTATATTTTTAAAAATAATTTCATTTTAGACGATTTTAAATTGAAACTTTTCGTAAATTTGAATGGCTAAAGATTATTTTTACAGATTTTTAAAAATAATTATGTTTTAGAGAATTTTTATTTAAAAATGTTTGCAAATTGAAATTTCGAAGAATTTTTATCAAAATTTTGTAAATTAATTAAAATTTCAAAGTTCAGCACTTAAATTTTTTATTAATTATTAAATTTTAAAAGATTTTCAATTGAAAACTTGGAAAATGTTTAAAAGTATGAAAAATTTAATAGGTAAAAATTTTTTGTAATAATTTAATTTCGATAGTTGGAAATAATTTATATTTCGAAGATCTGCAATCAAAGTTCTTAATAATATATGTAGATATTGAATTTTATGAAAAATTTAAATAATATATAATATATAATAATTTTAATTTGATAATTGCTTAAGTAATTAAATTATTGATGAAGTTTATTGAATTTTTTCAAAGTGACAAAATTGGAAAGAATTTTAGTTAACGTTTTTTTTTATGAATAACATAATTATATGGATTTAATTGCAATAAATCAATATTGAAGCAGTTAGAATTAAATAACTTTTTCTTTTTTTAAAAGATTTTAACTTAAAAATTTCAAAAATAATTCAATTATCGAAAAATTTATTCAAAATTATGAAATAATTAATTTTTCAAATATAATAATAATTTAAATTATATTTTTGGAAATAATTGAGTTTTCAAATGTATTGAATTAAAAGAATTGTAAGTAATTGAAATTTCGTAAAATTTGATTGAAAGCTTTGAAAATAATTGAATTTTTAAGAAGAATAATTTCTTTAAAAAACTTTTGAAAATATGCAATTAAATTCTTTTAAGAATTTGAATTGTTCTTTATACAATGTTTGTTTAACATAATTTTTATTTGTTGGAATTTTCATTTGTCATAATTTTTTTTTAAATAGAATTCATATTTGATAGAAAAGAACAAAATTCAAAAATATCAGGGAAAAACACAAAATATTGTCTGGAAGTCAGGGAAAATTATAATCAAATTTTTTGTGGCGTCAGAAGTTCGATATATTGACGCATAACCAAAATACACAATTTTAACTATTGATCATAGTTTTAAAGTTGACGAATAATTGTATAATATCGACGTTTTTGATCTGGGATAATATTTTACGTTACAATTTTATTTTGAACGAAAATTAACTGGCGTTCGCGTGCTAAATTCTTTTATAAATTTTGTCAAATACAACCCCAGTAACTTTAAATTCTGTCGCGCTGGTTGAAAAATAATTTTTATTTCATATTAATTTATTAATTTTATTTTTATTTAATAATTTTATTAAATATTCCTTAAATTAGATTTACATGACATGCGATTATTTAAAACTGTTAATATAGTATTTCCCTCTATATAGATTTAAATTTCTAACAATAGTTAATTTTAAATATAAAATTTGGTTGTAGTGCTTTGGATTATGAAATGTCACAAAATAGCATGTATTGGGCGGACATTAAAGTTAAATCAATTACTCGAGCATTTATAAATGGTTCAGAAATGGAACGACTTGTTGAAGTTGGACTAGAAAGTCCCGATGGTTTAGCAATTGATTGGATTGCTCACAATTTATATTGGAGTGATTCAAGTTCTCATCGTATTGAAGTTATTCGTCTAGAAACACGCAGCAGAAAAGTATTGATATGGAAAGATATAATCGAACCAAGATGTTTGGTGCTAGATCCACAAAAAGGGTAAAATTAAATATTTAGCTATTAAAAAAAAAAAATTAATCTTCTTAAATTTATTTATAAATTAAAATATTTAGATACATGTTCTGGACGGAATTTGAGGAAAACTCTGGAAATTCCGGAACTATTGAACGTGCAAATTTAGATGGTACTCAACGTCAATTAATATTATCTAATATTGGTCGTGCAAATGGTTTAACTTTGGATCACGTAACTGATCATTTATATTGGACTGATTCAACAACACCAGCTATTGATAGTTACGATTTAATTACAAAGAGAAGAAAATCTCTTGTTACACAAAATATTGTTTATCCATTTAGTATTACTCAATATCAGGATTTTATTTATTGGACCGATTGGAATACTGGAATTATTGAGAGAATTAATAAAACTTCAGGTTCCGGTAGAACAGTGATACACAATCGACTTGAATCAGTAACATCGCTTCTTGTTTTTCATGCATCACGACAAACTGGATCAAATGTATGTGCTGTGAATAATGGTAATTGTAGTCATCTGTGTATTGCACTTCCAGGTGTCAATGAAAGAATATCATCTGCACGTAAATGTGTGTGTCCAACTCACTTCAATCTCAGCACTGACAATAAAACCTGTAACCGTAAGCATTGTTTTCATTAATTCGTAAAATTTATTTCTATTTATAGTGAATTTTATTTATTTCAACACTGCCACTGGAAGTAATTTTTGAAAATAATGATGAAACAATTTTTTTTCAAAAACATTTGTTAGAGTTTTTATAAAAAGTAGAATGAGACAAAATAACCAAATTTTTGATATTTCGAACTAAAGCTTCGAATCCAAAGACGCAATTTCCAATCTCTTCTGCTATAGCCATTTTATGTGACTCTTGCTATTTGTGATTTTGCCTCAATATTTGGGATAAAATGGACATTTTTATTATTTAAAATTTTTTAAAAACGCCAAATTTTATTAATAACAAATTATAAACAATTATTCTTCCCCTTAAGGAACTTAAGGCCGATTCCATTTCAATTCAGACAGGCTATGTTTCTGTAACTCATGTTATCGTTTCCTATGAAAATATATTATTTTTCACACAATTTTAGACGACACGTGTTTTGCCGTTTTACCAAAAAAAATTATTTAACGAAGTTAGGCGCCTTTGAATTTTTATAACTGCAAAGTCAGATTTCAAAAAAATGACGATAAAATATTTTTAAATTATTGTATCTTTTATGCAAATGCATATAATTTAATGATTCTTTTTGCTCCTAATTCTGGATTAAACGTTCTTTTAAATCCCGCATGTTAAATTAAAAAATATTAAAATTTAACAAAATGGCGGAAATTTTTCGAAAAAAATTAAAATCAAATTTTCTCTAAAACCCCAGCGTTTTTTTTCTTCTCGATTTTTTTATTGCTTTCTGGAAGTCTAATGATTATTTTCCAAAAGAATATATTGAGGTCCTGCGTCTTGAGAAAGAGTAAAAAATTTTTTTGTTATATTTTTTTTTAATTTGTTGCTATTAGATTTATGCTACCTTTATTTCTTCGTTAGTGTTTTATTTCTAGACGTTTTGTCTTTTGAATTGTCATTTCTGAAAAACTGACACAAGTATTAATAGAAATTTCACTAAATCTAATTTTTAGTAAAAATAAAAAATAATAATAATAAAATAATATATAATTTATAAATAAAATACTTTAATGTATTTGAAAAAATACAAGTTTCATTGATGTCATGCGTGTTATTTAAATTTAAATGCTCTGCAAATTGAAGATACCAGTAAAACAAATTATTTATTTAATGTTTAAAAACTAATATTTTTTCTTTTTAAAATTTTGTTGCATCTCGTAAAAAGTTCAAAAAAACTTCGAATTTTCATCTTTTAAAAATAAAAAAAATTTTTACTCTTTCTCAAGACGCAGGACCTCAATAAATTCTTTTGGAAAATAATCATTAGACTTCCAGAAAGCAATAAAAAAATCAAGAAGAAAAAAAACGCTGGGGTTTTTGAGAAAATTTGATTTTAATTTTTTTCGAAAAATTGCCGCCATTTTGTTAAATTTTAATATTTTTTAATTTAACATGCGGGATTTAAAAGAACGTTTAATCCAGAATTAGGAGCAAAAAGAATCATTAAATTATATGCATTTGCATAAAAGATACAATAATTTAAAAATATTTTATCGTCATTTTTTTGAAATCTGACTTTGCAGTTATAAAAATTCAAATGCGCCTAACTTCGTTAAATAATTTTTTTTGGTAAAACGGCTTAACAAGTGTCGTCTAAAATTGTGTGAAAAATAATATATTTTCATAGGAAACGATAACATGAGTTACAGAAACATAGCCTGTCTGAATTGAAATGGAATCTGCCTTAAACAGCAATCCATCAACTTCGAAAAAAAAACAAAAAGTTGTGAAACGAGCGTCAATTTCACTATAGTTATTCGACAGTTATATTGTCGATACTGACACTAGCGGAAAATGTCAGAACTATAATTCACCTCGAACGTCAAGTTCATGAAACCTACAACACGAAAATAAAAGCGAATTGGTGATTTTGCTCCACTATACATTTTTTAAATTATAAAATTAAACTTTAGAATATTGACAGTAAAAAAAGTAATTTTGTTTTGCAAAAAATATAATTCTGCTAAAAAAAAAATTAATGATTAAATGAACTTACTAGTTAAGGTCAATCATAGTGGCAGTTGTTTCGCTGAAAAACTACTCTTTACTCTAAACTCTTCAATAACTAATAATTGTGCAAAAATTTCTTTTGTCAAACAAAAAAAATACGCGTATTTTTATTTGAACTAAAAATCATAGGAAACATTATTTTGAATTTCAAAATATTTTCACTGCACGTTTTAAGAAGGATGGAAGCTCTATTATAACCTCAAAACAGAAAAATGGTTTTCAATGCAAAACTTTTAACAATTGAAAAAAAAACTTTACGATTGTAGAGAATGTTTCTTAATTAAAATAAAATTTTGAGAAAAATTACGATTTTTGTCTTAGTTGAAAGAGAAAAGTCAAAATGTTAAAAAAAATAATTATTTAACAAACGATTTTAAATTCAACGTAATTTTTTCCAAAAACAAAACTACCTAGATCTTCTAAAATTGTTTAAAATTAATTTTTACTAAAGTTTTGTTTGCTTTTAAGATATTTTTCAGTTTTGAGGTTATGTTAGGACCTCCATACTCCTTAAGGGGATATTAAAGTGATGATACTTTTTACATAGCAGTTTTTATGTAAAAAAAATATTGCGACTTTGACATGTCCTTAAAAGAACGCATGAATAAGATATAAAATCAATTTTTTAGAATTTTCATTTTGATAGAAATTCATTACATAGAATTTACTTTTAGCCGAATTTTTTTTTTATTTCGAATTATTATTTAACAGAAATTCAATTTAATTGAATTACTATATTACTGAATTTTTACTTAACCCATTTCGTTCGAGAAATCCGTTTTTCTTCCTCCTAATTTGCTCTCGCGATTTTCAAAATTCATAGACTAAAAAAAATTGTCAGTAGGTGTTTCTTATGTATTTTTTAGTCCTCTTTCAGAATCTATAAGAAAATTTAACTTTTGACTTAAGGATAAACAGTTATGATTGTTTAAACAAAAAAAAGACGGATTTTTTGGGTTTTTTCCCATTAATACTATATTTTTGATTCGAAATTGCGTCAGAAAAAATTTGGAATGGCAAAATATCGCGTTCAAAATGTCTGCCCTTTCATTTGGTGATGATAAGAACTTTTTATTTTCGCTAAATTTAAAATGGCGATTCCAAAATGTCCGCCAAACTGTCTGAAATTAAATTTTTCAGTCCCACTATTAAAAAACTAGACAAATATCTACAAAACCTGTTAATCGGGGGTTTTCGGGGTTGCTGATCCCGAATTTGATGTCAGATTTTCAAAATTCAAAATGGCGGATCCAATATGGCGGACGAAATTTTAAAAGTATAATGCTATTCGCTTAAAAATGGGTACTCGGGGGTTTTTGGGGTCGCTGATTACGATTCCGGTGTCAGTTTTTCAAAATTCAAAATGGCGGATCCAATATGGCGGACGATATTTTAAAAATCTAACGCAATCGGCTTGACACATGTCACTCGGGGGTTCTTGGGGTCGCTGATTCCGAATTTGATGTCATATTTTCAAAATTTGAAATGGCGGATCCAATATGGAGGACAACTTTTGAAAAAACTTAATATATTCGTCTGTAGTAAGTAGTTTTCAGTGATATTAAATATTTGTCCGCCATTTTGCATCCGCCATTTTGAATTTTGAAAAACTGACCTCTGATTCGTAATCAGCGACCCCGAAACCCCCCCGAGTAACTAGTTTCAAGCGAATTGCATTAAGTTTTCAAAAAGTCGTCCGCCATTTTGAATTTTGAAAATCTGACATCAAATTCGGGATCAGCAAACCCCGAAAACCCCTGAGTAACAAGTTTTGTAGATATTTGTCTAGTTTTTTAATAGTGGGACTGAACAACTTAATTTCAGACATTTTGTCGGCCATTTTGGAGGCGCCATTTTAAATTTAGCGAAAATAAAAAGTTCTTATCATCATCAAATGAAAGGGCAGACATTTTGGATGCGATATTTTGCCATTCCTAATTTTTTCTAACGCAATTTCGAATCAAAAAAATATAGTTTTAATGGGAAAAAAACCCAAAAAATCCGTCTTTTTTTTTGTTTAGACAATTATAACTGTTTATCCTTAAGTCAAAAGTTAAATTTTCTTATAGATTCTGAAAGAGAACTAAAAAATACATAAAAAACACCTACTGCCAATTTTTTTTAGTCTATGAATTTTTAAAATCGCGAGAGCAAATTAGGAGGAAGAAAAACGGATTTCTCGGACGAAATGGGTTAAACAAATTTTCATTTTACAAAATTTTTATTTCATCGGATTTGAATTTGACAGAATTATTATTTCCAGTCAAGTTTTTATTTATTCCAATTTACTTTTGCCGGATTTTTTAAAACGTCCAATTTTTATTTTACAAAACTTTTATTTATCAAAATGAATATCTCGCAAAAAAAATGTTGTGTAAATTTTTAAATTAATCAATTAGAAGTTATTAACAAAACTATATGACCAGTTAAAATTTGCGCCTAAATTTTTCTTTGAGATATTTATTTGGACAAACGAAAGGGAGAAATCAGGGAAAAGTCAGGAAATTTTGGTAGTCAGGTAAAAAATGCATTTAATTAAAAAAAAAACATAAAATTTAATAATATTCAAAAATTTTTTAGTCATGGAATTTTGAAAATGAAATTCTATTATCAACTGGTTCTGTAAAATAAAAATTCGACGTTTTAAGAATTCTGTCAAATGAAAATTCGGCTAGAAAATTTTTTTTCTGTAAAATAAAATTTTTTTTACAATTATGTTTATTAAAAATTGAAATTCGGTAAAATAAAAATTAGTTTAACAATTTTGTAATATCATAATTCTATTTAACAGGATTTGTCTAAAATTGACTTTTAGTCGAATTTTCATTTCTTCTAATAAAAATTCCACTAAATATAAATATTCTCGATACCTAATGAAATTCTGTTAAATTGAAATTTTGTCAAAATTAATTTTAAAACTTATTCATGCGTCTCGATTTAAAATGAAAATAGTCTTTAATTCCATTTTTTTAAACTGTATTATTTTATAATTATCACTATTTTCCTTTATCAATTTTAGCTCCAACGAATTTTATGATGTACAGTTTACGTAACGTGATTGGTCGATTATTACCCGACATAAATGATTGTCCCGATATTGTACTTCGTGTGCAAGGATTAAAAAATATTCGTGCCATTGAATTTGATCCATTCACTCAACATATTTATTGGATTGAAGGACGTACAATGGCAATACGTAAAAGTATAGAAAATAAAACACATGGCTCAATTGTTGTTGCTGGCAATTCTGGACGTCCTTTTGATTTGGCATTAGATCCCATAGGCAGACTTCTATTTTGGTCATGTGAAGTTAATAATGTTATAAATATCACGAAAATTGATAATAATTTAAATTTGGGAATTGTCGTGAAAGGCGATGGCGAGAAACCTCGTTATCTTGATATTCATCCTGAAATGAGATTACTTGCATGGATCGATATTGGTGGATCGATAAAAATTTATTTAAGTAAATTGGATGGACATGAGAGAAAAGTGATTGCTTCAAATTTAGAATTACCCTCGGGCCTAACAATTGATGTGACGTCTAATAAAATTTATTGGGCATGCGGAAAAATTATTGAAGTTTCCGATTTAACGGGAGCAAATCGTCGAATTCTCACAAACACTGATGATTCATCAATTGCACATTTATCAATTCTTTCGAATTTTATTTATTGGTTCAATCGTGTTGCACAAACCGTTGAACGTGTTGATAAATTTACGGGAACAAATAAAAGTATTATAATGAATCGTCCTCTCACCGATCTTATAACTGTTAGAACGCCAAATAATCATGTTATGGATTCACATATTTGCAGTCCTTCACATGATTATGGTGGATGTTCACATCTTTGTATTGGAAATTCATCGTTGCGATGCTCGTGTCCACAATTTCTTGTTTTAAGCGAAGATGGAAGAACGTGTCGAGAAGCACCGGCATGTGGAAATGAACATTTCACATGTATAGCGCCAAATTCGGCTGTTGCACAGAAATGTATTCCTGTTTCATGGAAATGTGATGGACAGGATGATTGTCCTGATGGAAGTGATGAATTGAATTGTCCAACTTGTGGTCACGATCAATTTAGATGTCAAAGTGGACATTGCATTGGTAAGAATTTCAAAATTATTATTATTATTATTATTATATACAATAATTTTCGTATTCATTCATTCCGTGAGATGCATAATTATCCCCGCCTTGCCATTAGATCTAAAAGTCATTTTATCTTATTTCCAAGCTTCATAGTCGTCCCCTATTTTTAACAAAAACTTAGTATAAAACTTTGATTTTTATGAGAATACTATTTTAAAAATATTCATTTTCTACAAAAAATTAAATGAATTTATAACAAATGTGTGGATGGAATGATTATTTATCAAATAAATATCAAACACATTATGTAATTAAAGACTTTGGATTCAAAATCCATAAAAGTTTATTCAAATGAAAATTTAATACTTATCAAACAGTTTTCGATAGAATTACTATCAAATTACATTTTGCAAGCCTCAGATTCCTCTTCCTTTTATTTTATTAAAAATGTAACTACTTCGACTTTTAAAAACATTTTTTAGATAAATACAACTTTTTTTAGTATAAAATATTATTTTTGCAAATTTGAATAATTAAAAAAAATTTTAACTAGAATACTTCACAAAAATTAATTATTTTCAATAATTTTAATCAAGTTCTTTAAAAAATTTTCCATTATTTAAAACAATTTTTCAATTTAAAATTCTCTAAAATTCAATTATTGTACTTAAAATTTTGTTAATAATTTTCATTAACTCTAATTTAAAATAATTTGAATAAAAAATCCATATATTTCATAAAATTTTAAATGAAAATTTTTCAAAATTGAATTATTTCAAAAAATTTTATCCAAAATTTATTGTTCAATTTATTATTTTTGGTAATTTTAATAAAGTTCTTCGAAAACTAAATCCTATTTAATTATTTTTTCAATTTAAAAATTATCTAAACTTTAAAATTATTGTCTAAAGCTTATAAAAAATCTGTCTACAATTTAAATTTAGGAAAATTTTAATTAAAAATCTCATGAAATTCAATTATTTCTAAAAATTGTTTCTAAAATTCTTTGGTAAATTATTTATTTCAATAATTGTTATCAATTTTGTTCAATAATTATTAAATTATTTAAATCATTTTTTAATTCCAAATTCTCTAAAATTCAATTATTGTTTTAAATTTTGGTAATAATTTTCATTAATTCAAATTTACAATAGATAATTTCAATTATTTTCAACTTAAATTCTTTATTGAATTAACTATTTCTAAATACTAATGTACTTTTTAAGAAATTCAATTATTTAAAACAATTAAAATTTTCTAAAATTCCATTACTATTTAAAATATATTTACCGAAATTCTGAATTGAATAATTTTTATAAATTAGATATTAATTTTCTTAAAAAAAAGTAATTTTTTCAAAAATTTGTCCTTGGAATCTTGAAAATTTTGTCTAAATTAAATTTTAAAATGTATTTTAAATAAAAATTCTTGAAAATATTTCAATGACACATTTTTATTATAAGAAATAAATAAAATTCATTTAATTTCTAATAATAAAATGTTTGTTATCTAATTAAATTTGTGAATGAAAAATTATAAAATATGTTTTTGCAAAACAAAAATACCTCAAAGCTTAACTGAATGTGTGGTTTAATCTATAAATTAACCCTTAATATTTACTAATGTAATATTCATAGTACCCTAAAAATTCCCTTATTTTAAAATTTTCAGTCCCCTAAAATATTTTTTAGGATCACTGTGAAGTCTGAATTTCAAATGGCAAACAAGATGAAAATTCGTTTATTAGAATGTGAATTTACTAGAATTCGTATTATTTTAAATGATTAATTAATTAAAAATATTTTCAGCAAATGTTTAATTCAACTATTTTTTATTGATTAGAATTTTTTAATCACATCAATTTATTTTTTACAAAACTTTAATTAACAAAATGTTTTTATAACCTAAAATTTATTTCTCATAATTATTTATTTAATTATTATATGTCCTAATTTTGAATAGCACAAATTGTAATTAAAACTAATATTTTTGGGACCTAAATTTATATATTTATATGGGTGAAAATTTCCCAACTGGGCCACCTAAAACTGACTTTTCAAATTTAAAATATTTTTTTTCATAATCTATTGCAGGAACCCGAATTAAAAACATTCCTGAATTGCGTTTTTAAAAATTAATTTTTTAATTATTTATTAACAATTGAATATTTTGTTACCTTTCTACTAAATTTGCAATTACTCTGTTGCTTGTTAATGAAATTTAATAAAATTTTGTGAGTAGAAATTTCAATTAACCTTTATTGTTTATGCAAAAAAATTATTTATTTAATAAACAAATGAATATTTAATCTATTTCTCATATGTTTAGGAAAAAATTTCAAAAACCACATAAATCTACACTTTCTCAACTTTAATTTAGAAAAAAAAATTTTAGTACCTTTAAAAAATGAGTGAATTACGCGAATTTGAAGAGCGACGTGCAAGCCTATTCTCTGTTATCGAATTATTGACTAGAATTCTTGAATATCAAATTTTTCCTTTATTTTATTATTTAACAATCATATAACTTTTCATTACAACTGGTTGCTAAGAATTTTTTCAAAACACGAATATTCATTGAATTATTTTGGAAGTAACTGAATTAGTATCACTAGTAGTGAGACTAATTTATACTAATATAATTTATACTAATACTAATTTGGCTAAATAAAAATTTGGTTTAGTGAAAATTTAATTAAAGAAGAATTTTGTTAAATAAAAATTAGGTTTTAATAAAAATTCTATTAAAAAAATTCGGTTAAATAAAAATTCTGCTATTGAAAAATTTGGTTCTACGTTAAATTAATTTTCTGAAATTCAAACTTAGTACACATTAAGCGTCCCAATTAAAATCTTTTCGATGATATAACAAATTCATAAAATTAAATTTGTTTTTATAAATATAAGAACAAATTTAATTTAATTTTATTTTAATTAATTTTAATAATTAATAACGAATTTATAATAATTTAATTTATAATTAAAAAATTTTTTTTTTATTTCTTATAAATATCAGAACAAATTTAATTTTATGAATTTGTTATTTCATTGAAAAGATTTTAATTTGGACGCTTAATGTGTACTAAGTTTGAATTTTAGAAAATTAATTTAACGTAGAACCACATTTTTCAATAGCAGAATTTTCATTTAACCGAATATTTCTTTAACCAAATTCTTATTTAATTAAATTTTCGCTAAACTAAATTTTCATTTAGCCAAATTAGTATTAGTATAAATTATGTTAGTATAAATTAGTATCATTTGATAACAGAGAATAGGCTTGCACGTCGCTCTTCAAATTCGCGTAATTCACTCATTTTTTAAAGGTACTGAGATTTTTTTTTCTAAATTAAAGTTAAGAAAGTGTAGATTTATGTGGTTTTTTAAATTTTTTCCTAAACATATGAGAAATAGATTAAATATTCATTTGTTTATTAAATAAATAATTTTTTTGCATAAACAATAAAGGTTAATTGAAATTTCTACTGCATTTCAAAGAGACATAATAAATCAATTGAAAATTCACTAAAATTCAATTATTGTCTAAAGTTTTTTAAAAAAAATTTCACTAATTAAAAATGAAAGTTTCAATCAATAATTTCCTGAAATTCAATTATTATTTCTAAAATTTTTAACTCAAACTCATATAAAATACAATTATTTCTAAATTTCGTATCTAAAATTCTTTGTTAAATAATATAATTTTAATAATTTCAATCAACATTTTCGAAAATTCAATTATTAAAACATTTTTCACTTCAAAATTCTCCATAGTTTAATTATTGTTTAAAACTTATAAAATATTTACAGGAATTCCAATTTACGAAAATTTTAATTAAAAATCTCCTGAAACTCAATTAGTTACAAAAATTTTAACAATTGCTCTTCCAAAACTCAATTATTTCTAAAATGTTTAACTTCAATTTCTTTTTTAATTAATTATTTCTAATAACTTTAATCAAGTTTTTTAAAAATTCAACTATTTTTATCTATATAATTCTTTGTTTAATTAATTATTTCAACAGTTTTAATACAATTTTTCAAAAATTCAATTACATTAAATCGTTTTTTAATTAATATTTATATTTACAACAAAATTATAATTTTTGAAATCTCAAAAAATGCAATTATTTCAAAAAATCTTAACTGTAACTTTATTAAAATTCAATTATTTAGAACATATTTCATTTGAAAATTCTAGAAAATTCAATGATTGTCTGAAATTTGTAAAAAAAATTCCTTAATTCAAATTGATAAAAATTTTATTTGAAAATCTTTTGAAATTCAATTATTTCTAAAAATTTTTAATCAAACTCTTTTAAATTCAATTGTTTTTAAAATTATAATTGAAAGTCTTTTGCAATTCAATTATTTTAAAAATTTCCATTTAAACATAATTTTTTTTAACTGTAGATATATTAATCAAATTCTTCGAAAATTTAATTATTTAAACATTTTCCGAAATTCTGAATTCAAATAATGTTCATAAATCAGACTTGAAAGATTTTCTTTTTTCTTTTTTTTTTAAATGTAATTTTAAATTATTTTTCAAAATTTGTTCTGAAACTGAATTGAAATCTTGAAAATTTGTCCCAGTTTCATTCGGTGATTTAAAAAGAAAAATTATGAAAAATATTTCTGTGAAACATTTTTATTAAGGAATTAATAAATTTTATTTTATTTCCAATAACAAATTGTTAATAAATTTAATTAAATTAGAAATTAAAATTGCTTAACTTTTTTTTTTTTTTTTGATTGACAGATTCTAATTGGGTTTGCGATGGAACGGCTCAATGTTCTGATGGTTTTGATGAAGCAAATTGTTGTCGTTCTGGACAATTTCAATGTAGTTCAACAGGCTCTTGTATTTCTGAAACTTTATTGTGCGATGGTTGGAAAAATTGTGCAGACGGAAGTGACGAGAATACCGTTGCTTGTACATCAGTGAATAATCAACAGGAATCACTTTCACCAGTTGACGCTGGAAAAAGTACCTATATTCTTGTAATTTTAGTAACAATGATTGTGTTTGCAAGTGGTGGTATATTCGTCTATTACTGCCGAAAAAAGATTTCATCAAATGGCGAACTTCCAGACATATTGTACGATTCAGCGGGTGATCCATTATCACCGAAACCCTGCAGAATTGCTAAAGCAACATTGGTTCATAAAGGTGGTAGAAAAGATCCTAAACTAGGAATGGATACTGTAAGAATGTCTGCGTTAAATGGCAGCAGCATTGGATCCAGTTATGATCGCAGTCACATAACAGGTATTTATCATTAAAATAAATAATTTTTTTTTCAGGAAACTAATTTAATGATAACAAATTTATTTATTGGGGTTTCAATGTTATCAATTTATTTTTTGTTGTTCGTGACTTTTTTTTTTATTTTATGGATTTATGGGGATTTGGGTCACGTGGTATTTTCCTTCAAACAGGGCAAGCGGAAGTGACGAAATGGCGCAAGCGTGTTGACTTATGTTGAACTAATGAACTCTCCTTCATTTGAACAACTCGTTGAATACATTTAATACAGAAAAACAAATATTAAATGCGACTATGACCTGAGAATTCTTGACGATCACTAGCGATTTATTTACAAATTTTTATTCGCGATTTAGTTATTTATTTACAAAAAAAAATAATAATTACGAAAAATTGTGCAAAGTTATCATTTATAATAAACTCTAATCGTTTTTTCTTTTCTTTGCGTTTTTCTAAAGCTCATTTTTTTCTAACAAACTCTTTTTTAAATTTTTCAAACAAATTTTGAAGCACTTAGCACAAAAATGAATTATTTGAAAAAACAAAATTTCGACCACTTTTTGGAGGTGATTATTTGTCGCTAAAGAATTAATATTTTTAGGTGCTTCGAGTTCAACGCGCGGTAGCTCGACAGGTGGTTATCCACAAGAAACATTAAATCCACCGCCTAGTCCCGCGACAACTGCAAATTCCACTAGATGCTCGAGTAGTAATGCATCTCGATGCAGACCATATCGTCATTACAGAAGTATGAATCCACCGCCACCACCAACTCCCTGCAGCACTGATGTTTGCGATGAATCCGACAGTAATTATCCCACACGATGGAGATATGAAGCAGAGCCTTTTCCACCTCCACCAACGCCAAGATCTGTTTATCACAGTGATATTGCAATTAGTTGTCCACCTTCTCCAAGCTCAAGATCATCAACATATTTTCATCCACTGCCACCGCCACCATCACCAGTACCGTCTCTCACAAAACGAGACCGTTAAAGACTGAATATTTATTTTAAAATCGCATTTTTTTTAACAAAAAAAAAAAATATACAGGGTGTCCTTGAAATTCTTGAAAAATTCTTTAATTTTTTTTTTTGGGGGGGGTCTTGAAAATCCTTGAATTCTATAACACAAAACATTGAATTTTTAAAATTTTCTAAAATAATGATATTTATTTCTTAAGGTGAGGCACTATCTTATTATTTTTACTCCTTTAAATTTAAATGATCGCGGGAAGTCGTAATATTTTAGGTCCTAAAAAACATACAGGTTAGTCAGCAATAGAAAATAATAATTTTTAATCAGTTTAAAATTTATAATCCAAAAACAGGGTTGCTATGGATCAGGGAAAAGTCAAGGAATTTTATGAAAAGTACTGGAAAAATATCAAATTTCTAAAAATTCTACTAAAATAATAATTTTTGACATTTTCAATTCAAACTTTTGTTGCTAAAAATTATTCTCTTACATTTTTATAATTGTAGACCTCGAATCGACTTTTGAAAGAAAAAAAAAAGTCATTTTAGTCGATTTACATTACAAGAAAAGTCTAAAAATTCGATTTTTTTAATTTCAATAAATTTAATCAATTGATAAATATTTTATTTTTATTAACAATTTGTTATTGGAAATAAAATAAAATTTATTAATTCCTTAATAAAAATGTTTCACAGAAATATTTTTCACAATTTTTCTTTTTAAATCACCGAATGAAACTGAGACAAATTTTCAAAATTTCAATTCAGTTTCAGAACAAATTTTGAAAAATAATTTAAAATTACATTTAAAAAAAAAAAAAAAAAGAAAATCTTTCAAGTCTGATTTATGAACATTATTCGAATTCAGAATTTCGGAAAATGTTTAAATAATTAAATTTTCGAAGAATTTGATTAATATATCTAATGTTAAAAAAAAAATTATGTTTAAATGGAAATTTTTAAAATAATTGAATTGCAAAAGACTTTTAATTATAATTTTAAAAACAATTGAATTTAAAAGAGTTTGATTAAAAATTTTTAGAAATAATTGAATTTCAAAAGATTTTCAAATAAAATTTTTATCAATTTGAATTAAGGAATTTTTTTACAAATTTCAGACAATCATTGAATTTTCTAGAATTTTCAAATGAAATATGTTCTAAATAATTGAATTTTAATAAAGTTACAGTTAAGATTTTTTGAAATAATTGCATTTTTTGAGATTTCAAAAATTATAATTTTGTTGTAAATATAAATATTAATTAAAAAACGATTTAATGTAATTGAATTTTTGAAAAATTGTATTAAAACTGTTGAAATAATTAATTAAACAAAGAATTATATAGATAAAAATAGTTGAATTTTTAAAAAACTTGATTAAAGTTATTAGAAATAATTAATTAAAAAAGAAATTGAAGTTAAACATTTTAGAAATAATTGAGTTTTGGAAGAGCAATTGTTAAAATTTTTGTAACTAATTGAGTTTCAGGAGATTTTTAATTAAAATTTTCGTAAATTGGAATTCCTGTAAATATTTTATAAGTTTTAAACAATAATTAAACTATGGAGAATTTTGAAGTGAAAAATGTTTTAATAATTGAATTTTCGAAAATGTTGATTGAAATTATTAAAATTATATTATTTAACAAAGAATTTTAGATACGAAATTTAGAAATAATTGTATTTTATATGAGTTTGAGTTAAAACTTTTAGAAATAATAATTGAATTTCAGGAAATTATTGATTGAAACTTTCATTTTTAATTAGTGAAATTTTTTTTAAAAAACTTTAGACAATAATTGAATTTTAGTGAATCATATAATTGTGATTTATGATTACTTTATTGTCATAAATAAAACAATATTTTCATAGTTTTTACGCTGAAAGTGGAATTTGAAAAAATTTATTTTTGACCTTGAATTTTTTTTCAAGAATTGCTGGACATCCTGAAAAAAAATTCTTTATAATTCTTTAAAAAACAAAAAAATGTTCAATACACGTGTGCGTATTTGAAAACAAAATACGAAATCCCCACGTCTTGCATTGAACATTTGTTTTAAAGTGAAATCGATGCAAGATGTTTTGTATATTTTAATCTCTCTTTAAATTACATAAGCGTAAATATATGTAAAAAGAGAAAGAAATTATAGAGATATTATGGAAACCGCAAAGTGTTCCATACCTTTATTTTATATTTGTAAACAGTCGAACTGTAAGATATAGACAAAAACGATTTTGTCGATAAAAATTTAAATACAAAAATATCCTTCTTGTAAATTATTTAAAGGGCTGATATAATAATTGCGAGTTATCAAAGAAAATTGAAACATAAGAAAGTTCATACAAGTTTCAATTTAGTGAAACGTTAAAAAAATATACACTACGATCAAAAATAAATTAAAATTCTCATATTATATCAAAAGTTTTATATTAAAAAAATGGTTGAAAAATTCGACTGACAAAAATGTTTAAATAAAAGACTGGAATTTTTTTACATATAGAGATAAGAAAGTTATAAAATTTAATATTTAGATACAAAATTTTGTGATAGTTTACGTAACAAAATAAATATACACACATATATTGTTAAAAAAAAAAGAAATAAACTTCAAAATTAAAATTTATCGTATTACGCGATTTGATTTACGTTCGACTGTATTACTTTTTTTTATTACTATAACATTTATTAATTTTGTAATATTAATTTATAATTTTGTAATATTAACTTAAAATCTTGTAATATTAATTTAAATTTTTTTAACAATCTAATATTTTTTTTTAGTAAAAACTATAGTTTTCCTACTGTAAATAAAGTGTCTTCTACTGATTAAATAAAAATGAAATCATTTAAATAAACGACAAATTTTTTTTATAAATTTATTATTACATTTAGTACCTAACCACGTTAATCTACTAAAGAAAATTAAGAATTATAAACTTACTCATATTTTTTTAAAATTATAAAAAATAGGAACATATGATTATCCCATAAAAATCATTAGTCAGATTTTTATTTTATAAAATTTTACTAAATATAATTATTATTTTAAAAAAATTTTATTTGTCGAATTAGCATTTGACAGAATTTCATTTTAAGGGTGTCGAACGGTTTCTGAAATTCTTTGGCAAGGAGAGGCCTTTAACTGTCGCCTTATAAAAATGGCACTGAACGTGAAAATGATAAACATTGATTTTAAAATACTTTTTTCTCAAAACACGAACACTTTTTTACAAAATCGGACAAAACATTGAGGTTCTTTATTTTATAAGTTTTAGAGGTGTGCAAAAAGCTCGAATTTCGAGTCGAGTCGAACCTGAGCTCAATTTAATAATGCTCCACTCGGTTCGACTCGAAAAATCTCAATCGAGTTTCGAGCTTTTTGCATACGACTAATAAATTTCCTAAATATGAAAGATTGTATGAATCCAAACAAAAACGAGATGGCATTAACTAAGTATAAATTAAAATTCATTAATAAAAATCTCAATTCGCTTTGCTTAAACAACAACATTACCGCTAGCGAAAAATTTACCAATCTCTACAACTGTATCCACATTTGGATTAAAAATCAGATCATCCAAATTAAAGTTATCAGGATTAAAATCAGTTATCTTAGTATTTAGATGCCAAAAGACAGCCGGTCTCGAAGCCTTTTGAACTATACTCCTAATGTGCAGTGACCAAGTCAAACTGCGATCCAAGTGAATCCCCAGATAGATCAAGTCATCCTGATTCTTAATTCTAATATTTCCTACTTTTAGGTATATATATTATATACATAACACCCCAACCTGTGGAACGCCCACATGCGAAACCTTAAAATCAGAAGAATCTGCCGAGAAAAACAATTTTTTCGACGAAATGACAAACGAGACAAAATTCACCAATCTGTCAGGAACTCGCAGTTTAACAAGATGACTATAAATTGCACTAGGAAGGATATTGCTAAATACACCCTTGAGATCCAAGGCCAAAGCCACAGTATGGTGCCCTCCAACAAAACCCTGCTGAATGTCGGTAACAAAAGTGGAAACACAATCAATCGTTGATCTCCCTTTACGAAATCCAAACTGACTTGTCGAAATACTATTTTTCATTTCTAGGTAATGTTCTAGTCGTTTTTGAATCATCCGCTCAAACAGTTTGCTAACCGCTGATGTCAGAAAAATCGGACTATAACCCTTACCTTCCGGTTTGGGAATGAAAACTACTCTTGTGTTTCTCAAAGGATGACTGTAAGAAGAACTCATTGAAAAGAAACAAAAGCAAGTTATGTGTATCCAGTGGCAGTTGACGCAAAATTAAATCAGAAATAACATCTAGACCTGGAGCAGAATCCCTTTTACTACAACACATTGCTGATTTAAATTCTGCTCTTAAGAATGGACCATTAAGTAGGGGGTCATCATTAACCCCATGTATCAGGGGGTTGATTTCCAACAGTCAGCCAAGTTTCCACAATGGCCAAGACATCCAGCCCATGAATATGTAAAATCGACTCTATTTCGGCGCGTTTATATTTAGCACACTGTATTAAATCCCATATTTAATAGTTTTATTGATTGAAGACATATTTAGGAACAACAATTCAATTATAGGTTATAGTTATAAATCGTGGTACCAGAAAAACAAAGGGCTGTCTATTTCCTCACGAGTATCCAGTTAACTAACTAGTCGAAGCAAAAAGAACAAATTAAATATAAAATCAAAACAAAAGTATCTTCGAACAATTTGTAGAAACCTATTCTTTTTCTCCCCTTTCTCAAGATTATTTAATCTGGATTAATTACTATCGAAATTAATTATCCTTAGTATGACCAGTTGCATAAATCATTTTTTTTATTAGTCCTCCAACAAAGTTTATACGATTAATTTTGCCAAATCCGTCAAAACACCTAACAAATTCAGTAAGAGGTAGTTTACAACCCGAAACCTCTTATAGTAAACAAAACAATGACACACAAAAATTATTTTAATCGATTTTATATTTCAGCAGTCAGACTCAAATTATGAAACACAGTGAAGACTAAAATATAGTTAGGGGTCTTGACAAGTTGAATTAAAATTTTATTTAACTTTTATATATATATATATATATATATATATATATATATCTGTTCTTTTTTTTATATTCGTTTGATCCATCTTCTGAACCCAATTAACGCCAAGAACTGTAACGACTTAAAACTAACAGAAAATAAAACTAATACATCACTTAGTAATTTAAGAAATTGAACTCTTTGAGGGGTTCATTTTGAAGAGAGATTCTCATTTATTAAGTTGATTAAATTTGAGCGAGACTGGTTGATATTTATAAGTGTATTTACAGCAGATATTTTCTCAGACAATTGACGCTGATTCAGCGCATTCGATATTTCTAAAACTGGATCAGGAATGGGATTATTTCCCTTATTAAGAATGTCAATAGCGTGTAGAAGATCTAGTTGGTTTGGCTGATGTCTCATTATGACAGATCGCAGGGATAGGGCGCTGTGTTTCCCCTCTAGTTCCAATGTTGTTTAATAAGTCAGGATTTTCTTTATAGAACAAAAGTTTGGCCTCCTCTTTATTGCAATTATGTATATAGCAATATTTTAAAATGCCAAATTCAAACTTAAATACAGGGCACTCCGATGAAAAGGCCACATGAGAATCCTTACAATTTTTACATCTGGGTTGCAGGTGGCCATTCGGACAAAGATTTGTCAAATGCCTACCAGAACAAAATTCACATGTCGGGTAGGTCGAACGACATTGATTAGCCACATGGCAGTAACGCTGACAGCGGAAACATCTCCGTAGTCTCTGTAAGGAAGGAGTTATTGGAATGAAAAAATCGACCAATACGATATTACGTGGAACGATAGGTGAATTGAGAGTATATAAATTCTACCTTTTCTCGACATACCCTGACTATATTCCTAACCGATCTATTCGTAGGGAACCATTTAGTGAACCCCTTTTTTCTCAAAAAGGAATCTGGGATGAAGAGAACATAACCCGCCAATACCAGTTCTTTGGAGCCAACTAGAGCGTTAGCATCTTGCCATTTTTCGCAATTAATCTTTATCTGGTTTTTCCCATTGCGTGTTATTTGTTTTCCCCCCTCAATAATAGGAGATATTAGATCAATTACGCATATGGGGTCTAATTTACCAATATTTTTGCCTCGAATGGTGCTCTCTATTAAAACAATAAATGGAGGAGGACTAGAAGCGGAGTAAAGTGGAGGAAGAATCCTATTATTCCATTCCAGATCGTGTTGATCCCAAATTACATCTTTGAACTGAGATTGTGTACTTGAATTTTCTGGACAATTGTCAGCAGGATGTAATTGCCGATCGGCCCGAAATTCGCGAAAAGAATTTTTATCAGGTAATAAAATTTTTCTAGAAATGTGGCCAAATGAGCCATCTGAAGAGCCTGTAGCCACTGATTCGTTATTCTGCCTAATTCAAATAACGACTTCTGAAATATTCAGGAAATATTTTGCAAAATGTCCATAAATTTTTGACACATGAAATCAATAGGTATTTTCTGAAATTTTTAACACCCTTAGGATTCTAGAAAACTAAAAACTACTGCGCAGTTGTACAGGCCATATAGTAACTAAGATCGACCAGTGCGCATCATTTAAGTTGAAAATTTCCAGAATATTTCAGTGAAATATTTCCTCATAAGCGGACATTTTCCTGTTTGCAGCAATATTTCAAGGACTTTGCACAGAAATATTCCAAAATTTCAGTGAAATATTTCAAAAATATTTTGGAAATATTATGTGCTGTGTGGGAAGTAAGCAAAAATAACCACAATAGAGAGAAATAATTTAGCCCTATTTTCACATCCAATACCAAGATATCAAATACTAATAAATAATCAAACTAATTAAGCAAAACTTTCAAAGCAAATCTTAATTTGATGATAAGCCCCAGAAATTAAAAGCATACAAAGACTTAATGATTAATATAATTACAAAAGACTGGCTGCTTAATTTCCTTATTTATCCAGCATAAAGGACTAAAAGAAGGAAAAGCATATCCAAGCTTAACACGCTATCTTGGAGTCTCTAAAAACGTAATTTTCGGACAAAACAAACATAAAAAAAGTACTTGTGGATGGAAAATTTTCCAAAGAATCTATTGCCGTTAAAATTTTCAAGTTATTATTGGGAAACCATTTTTCATTTTTTTCAATAAAATTTAAAAGAAAAATAAATGTAAGTTATATTTTAGAGTATTAAAATTATGAGAATTTTTAAAAATATACATTTTTTATATTTGCTTTTTTATTTAATTTCTATTATCATTTATTATTATCATTTAGCAATTTGTTTGTTAATTCTCTGTAACAAATTGTCTTGAACAAAAATTAATCTTACTAAAAAGTAAGAAATGAAACATATTAGTGTAGATATCTTTTAGAAAAAATATAATTTTACAAAAAATGTTAGTTGCAAAATATTTTTTCACGTTTAATAAATGTGAAAAATTTTAAAGCAGTAAAAAAAGATACGTGTAGAAAACTATGTCCTTGAAACAAAATAGTGATTTGTCGACAACAGTTAAAATAGATATCATTTAACAACTTACAATATTAAAAAAATGTATAAAATTTTGCTTGATAAAGTCAAACATTGAAATATTTAATGATCCATCTAGCTTTCATTGCTTCACTTCTGCATTGAAGACAATTTCAAATAGTTCTTTTACATTACAAGTTGTCATTCACGGTGAGTAAAATTCTAAATAATAATTGGCATATTTGCACTTTTATTTTGTGTTAAAATTTTTTAAATGTTCCTATAATTTTTTAACGCTAATTATTTCATCAATAGATTTATTTTTTTGTTATTATAAGTGCCATTGCATGAAAGGGTATTTTCTTTCGTTAGCTTGTTTACTGGTCAAATAAAAATAATAAAAAATAAAGTGCAGGATTTTTTAACTTTATTTATTTGATCTCTTCCAAATTGGTAAATTTGGAGAATTTAAAATTTTATCTACGGAAAATTTTAACGATCTTATTCGTTATTATTCTCGTACTAAGGAGCCTTGGCAAGCACCATGCGGAAAAAGGCCCCTTTTTTGTACCTCGAATTTTGAAACTTTCTTTATGCCAAATGGTAATATATGGTAACCCAATAATCCCTGGAAAATTTCAAGATGAGCATATGTCCCCTTTCGGAAATACAGGGGGTCAAAGGGGGCCATGTCAAAAAAAGAACATGGAATATTATCGAAAAATAATGTTAAAAAAAATCAGATAAAATGGTCACTTCAAGATTTTCGTCTGCTGATTACGAATTTGAAGTCTGTTTTCAAAAATTCGAAATGGCGGATCCAATATGGCGGACAACAATTTTAAAAATACATCCAATTTACTTGAAAATTGTTACTAAGGGGATTTTAGGGTTGCTGATTACGAATCTAAGGTCCGTTTTTAAAAATTTTAAATGTCGGAGGACAATTTTAAAAATCCATACAATTTTCTTGAAAATTGTTACTCAGGGATTTTTGGTGTCCCTTATTACGAATCTAAGGTCCGTTTTTAAAAATTCAAAATGGCGGATCCAATATGTCGGACGACAATTTTAAAAATCCATTTAGATTACTTGAAAATCGTTACTAAGGGGATTTCAGGGTCGCTGATTACGAATCCGGTATCAGTTTTAACCCCTTGACAGTCCAGGGCCCATATGTGGCCAGAAAAAGTCGTGCCACCTTTGTGCAAGTGGCCATATATGGCCACCACAAAAAAATAATACTAAATTTAATTTGATTCTCCTGAAATTTGTTACTCGGGGGTTTTTGGGGTCGCTGAATCCAAATTTAAAGTCAGATTTCAAAAAAACAAAATGGCGGACCCAAAATGGCGACCATGAAAACTTAAAATTTATCAGATTTACATGAAACTCGTTGCTCAGGGGTTTTCGGTGTCGCTAAATTTGAATCTGAGGTCGGTTTTTCAAAATTCAAAATGGCGGATCCAATATGGCAACCCAATATGGCGGATAATTTAAAAATTAATGCGTGTTGACCACAAATTGTTACTCGGGGGTTTTTGTAGTCGCTGAATTCGAATTTGAGGTCAGTTTTTCAAAATTCAAAATGGCGGACAAATATGGCAGACAATTTGAAAATTGATGTGTTTCCACCGAAAATCGTTTTTTAGAGATTTTTGGAGTCGCTGAAATTGAATTTGATGTTAGTTTTTCAAAATTCAGTAAGGAAAATCCAAAATGGCGACCAAAATTTTAGAAATAAATAAAAATCTGATGCTAGACTTTTTTGAATTTAAAAAAAACGACCTCAAATTCGAATTCAGCGACCTCAAAAACCCCCAAGTAACAAATTTCAGGCAAATGGGATCAATTTTTTTAAAATTTGTCCGCCATATTGGATCCGCCATTTTGAATTTAAAAAAAACGACCCCAAATTCAAATTCAACGACCCCAAAAACCTCCGTGTAACAAATTTCAGGCAAAACGGTTTGATTTTTTAAAAATTTGTCCGCCATATTGGATCCGCCATTTTGAATTTTGAAAAACTGACCTCAAATTCGAATTCAGCGACCACAAAAACCTTAAATATGATGAAGTCATATTTTTTTGGAAACTTTTTTTTCGGACCGTTTTAGGCCCACCAGCGATTTTTAACTGGACTGCGAAGGGGTTAAAAAAATTAAAAATGACGGATCCAAAATGGCGGACGACTATTTTTTAAATTGATTTTAATTGACTTCAAAATTGTTAATTAGGGGTTTTCGAGGTCAGTGAACACAAATCTGAAGGTGAACTGATATTGAAAAGGACTAAACATTTTTTGTTAGTATTCTTTTTGATACAACATATAAAACAAAAAGCAAATACCCAAGAAGCACGTAATATAACCTCAATATCAGTGTAATATTACATGTAAGATTCGTAATATAACGTTGTAATATTGCAGTAATCTTACAGTGATCTTAAAATGTCCGCCTCAAGGTAATATTACCGGTAATGTTACTGTAATATTACGCGCTAATATTAAGGTAATATTACAGTAATATTGCAGTAATATTAGCGCGTAATATTAGCGCGTAATATTACAGTAACATTACAAGAGAATATTACAGTAATATTATGGGAACATTTCTTTATGAAAAAAATCTACCCATCTAGGGAATCGAACCCCGAATTCAAAGCACACGAGTCCAGAGTTTTACCGTTAATATCCGTTAATATTACAGTAATATTCCCGTTAATATTACCTTGAGGCGGAATTTTAAGATCACTGTAAGGTTACTGTAATATTACAGCGTTATATTACGAATCTCACGTGTAATATTACCTTGACATTGAGGATTTATTACGTGCTTCTTGGGTAGAAACATTCATAGCTTTAAAACATCATTTAAAAAAATATTATTTGAATGTGAGCTTAAGAATGTGATATAAGAAAACTAATTTTAGTTTTAAAAGTCTGAAATAATTATATGATTTCAGCTTACATTCGAAAACCTAAATACAAAAGACGATCAGTAGATCATCATTTTATTTATTTCTATTCCATTCTACATCTTATTTGCATTGTATGTTTGCAAATGTGATTAAGTAAACTTAATAGAAGTTTTAAAAGCCTGAAATTATTATTATTTTTGTCGATTACATTTTGCCTTTGTTCGTTGGATTATTATCCCTTATTTTCGTTAATCTAGTTGTCGATTACATCTTGCCTTTGTTGGTTGGATTATTATCCATTACCTTTGTTGATTGGGTTGTCGATTACATATGGCCTACGTTGGTTGGATTATTCCATCTTACCTTTGTTGGTTGAATTATTACATCTTGCTTTCGCAAGCTGGATTTGGCATTACATCTAGCCTTTATTAGATATATAGGATACGCCATTTTGAATGTTTAAAAACGGAACTAAGATTCGTAATCAGCGATCCCAAAAACCCCTGAGTAACGATTTTCAAGTAAATTGGATGGATTTTTAAAATTGTCCGTGATTTCGAATTTTTAAAAACGGACCTTAGATTCGTAATAAGCGACCCCAAAAATCCCTGAGCAACGAGTTTTAAACGAATTCAGTCAATTTTTTATTTTCATGCCCGCCATTTTGAATTTTTAAAAACGGACTTTAGATTCGTAATCAGCGACCCAAAAAAACCCCCGAGTAACCATTTTCAAGTAAATTGGATGTATTTTTAAAATTGTTGTCGACCATATTGGATCCGCCATTTCGAATTTTTGAAAACGGACTTCAAATTCGTAATCAGCAGACAAAAATCTTGAAAGGAACCATTTCGCCTGATTTTTTTATATTATTTGATAATATTGCATGTTCTTTTTTTGACATGGCCCCTTTTGACCCCTTTTATTTCCGAAAGGGGGCGTATGCTCATCTTGTAATTTTGCAGGGATTATTGGGTCATCATATGTTACCATTTGGTCTAAAGAAAGTTTCAAAATTTGAGGTACGAGAAAGGGGCATTTTTTCCGAGGCTCTTTGAATATAAAAAATTATGCTAACTTCACTCTATGACTGCCTTAGCGGATCGCAAACTATATAACACTTTTAAAAATTGTTTGTGTTTTGAGATAAAAGTATTTTAAAATCAGTGTTTATCATTTTCACGTTCAATGCCGGTTTTATAGGGCGATAATTAAATGCTAATGAATTTTAGAAACCGACTCTCTTAATAGTTCATTTACTAAATTCAATAGCATTTTTCATCAATTTATATTCATTTTTGTCTTATCTGCACGGAAAGTGTATTATTTCGTGCACTTGAGGCGGTCGCAAAGTAAGTGATTCCCGCTCAGAGAGGTCTTCCATAAACCACGTGGCCCATTTATGGGGAGGGGGGGGGTGTCACTAAAATGCTACTCTTGACCACGAGATGGGGGGAAAGGGTTTCACTTCGAGACACGTGGCTTTGAGATTTTACATCTCTTTTCGAATTTACGTGGACTAATCGCGCTCATGAGCATTGATATGATATAATTATAAAACTTAAAAAACAGTCTTTTAAGCTTTATGAAATCTAATTTTTGGTATCCCTCTTTTTCACTATAGTAAGGTAATAGTTCCGGTTGTGGGCACCCTTTTGTTTATGGCTCATAACATTTAACCAAATGCATATTATGAGACTTGTGTGTAGCAGTGGCAATCTAGAGGCCTTAGGTAACTGTAAAAAAACTAAATTGATTCCTTCAATTGGAATGATTTTATTAAGAATTCACTGAAGTGATCACTTTTAGTGAAAAAAAGTAGTACTCGGTTGTGGGCACCCTAGGAGAATCCGCAAAAAAAAAATGAAAAAAATGAAGTAAAACTACCATAATTGAAATGAAAATGATAATTGCTAAATAACACGGGATATTCCAATCACATTCCTGGAATATTGCATTAGAATATTACGAGTATTTTAAAATAATATTCCATTTACATTCCAGGAGCATAAAAATAACCACTTTTTGAAATATTCTTTTGAAATGTTGCAAGAATATTTGGATATTTCATAGAATTACTTCAGGAATATTTCTTTAAAATATTGTGGGAATATTCCATTGGAATATTTTGGGAATATTCAAATAAAAAATTATAAAAATATTATAATATGAATAATGCATCAATATTATTGAAAAAAATAAAAATTACATCATATTTTTCGAACTTACAAGAATATTCCAACATTAGAACATGAAATATAAATGACAATAATAATGACAAATAATTGTCA